AGGCACCTTCCCAATTTGGCAGACTGGTGATGCTTTTCCCGACGGCTCAAACTTGTAAATGATGTAGCTCAGTCAATTCTCCACCGATTTACAAGAAAAAAAATGCGCCAGAATTGCATAGATATTCTCTATTCAAATGTATAAAAATCTACAATGTGTCTGATTTTGGTGGCTATGCAGCACCTATTAGCCCAATGTTGCCTACTCGAGCTATCAGCTTCACAATGGATAGGATTTTGGCTTAGAATTGCAGAGACTAAATAACCGATTAATATGTGGCTTCAATCCTACGGGTCCAGAATTTTAATTACTACCTCATAACTATGTTAAAGTGCCCATTCTTAGGGGTGATCTCGACATAGGGGCCACAAATAAAAATTCTGAATCCGTAGATCGATTAGAATTCAAATTCTAAGTAATATCCTCCTACAAACCATGCTCATACGTGTTGTGGTTGGAAAGCTATAGTCCAATCTCTCCAGAGTGCCAAATTTGGCAGGGAAAACAAGCTGATTTCGCATTTTTGGAGCAATAAATAAAATTTCTACATGGAAAACTCTCTCAGTGGATTCAATCACATCATTCCCTCAAACCCAGTGCAAAAAATATATTGAATTGGTGTTGTGGAAGGTACAAAGTCCATGTCTCAAGAAATTGGCCCTGTGACGCTATGTCACGGCATGTCACTGGTCATCACACTTACCAAGGATTGTGCAACACCATTCATAATGTTCATATCCCTCGTATTTAAAATTTCCAAGGCCATTCTTTATTTGGGTGCCTCATTGACTGGTGAATGACTGTATACATGCTTATTTATGATTTTGACGTTTACATGACTTGACGCTGAGAAGACTATTTATTACCTGAGAGAAATAGACAACTAACACATCTCAGTTACGTGACTTGAGCATGACTGGAACAAGACTACTACACAACTATAGCATAACTAGCATCCGACTTTTGTTTGACTACAAAAGGACTATGAAGTCGGGATTTCATGACTAACCATTGACCTTCAGATGAGGGTGACTAGACTAAGTGCAGACTACCACATGACTGTATCATACATATATTTGGCATCTGGAAAGGAAACCACACGACTTGACATGACTTCGTGAAGTCGACTTGAAGTCAAAATTTTGTAAAATTTACTGCTTTTAGTCATGTCTTACATTTTTGTGTACTGGCGTGACTACTATATGACCAACACCTGACCAACCGTTTTTACTGAGTGTAATCAGGCACATGCCTATATATGGCAATATGACATCATGATCATGATCACTCTGATCCTCTAAGGCTTCACATACCCAATTTCGTGGGGCTATCTCCAATGCAACACATTGTAGGTGGTACTAAAAAATAAGTGAGTGTAGTGATTAACTTGTGCAAGACTGATACTCACCTGTTGAGTCTCACATCCAACCATTTTACCAACCCATTGCATCCTGAGTGCAATACCACACCGCACAGGCATCCGTTTAGAGTGTCTGATGTGTCGAAAGCATCAAGATGATTCAAGTTTTGAAATCAGGTCACACAGCATACCCATTGGTGTCGAGAACTGGTCTCTAACTGTTTTGTCAGTAAATTGTGATTGATTAAAACATTAGACAAAAATTTGATGAAGATTAGACTGTGAAAAACAATTTTGAAGCCAGAAATTGGGCTGGATATAATGAAATATAATATCCAGTCAAGATAATGTACTATACAATGATATTCTAGATGCAGGAATACTGTAAATCACCTTGGAAAACCAATTTAGGACTATCTTGTAGAGGGTTCCAAAAATCTTTTTTTCGGCCTATGGCCGACCTACCTACCCAACCCCCAGTCCAGCATTCAGATCCCTGAACCCCCTTGGGTGAAACGTTGAAACCATGCAATCGTGACCGTGACGGAGATGTGATTAAACTCACGTGACACCGTTACAGAACGCGCCATGACATTCATGAAGTTACTTAGGCCCAGGGTTTACGCGTTTCTGCGGCGACAAATCTCTTCTCGGCAATGTAGCCTTGATTGGAAGGTTATGATTCTAGATATCCTACATGATACTTAGACTAAAAATTTGCTAAAATTGTTCATTGCCTTACCATTACTCTTGCTTCCCCTACGATCCTACACGCGACAACTGAAAAAGTTCAATGATACTCGCTAACATACAAATCTGGTATTTATCTACGCGCCGCTCCAGCGCATCCAAGCGAATGAAAGTATTACGCAAGCGGCAAGAATTATTATTCCCCAACGCCAACGCCTATAGAGAAGAAATGATCGAGGAGTCCGTAGCCCAGTAGTAGTAACAACGGGCATCGCAAATCCATTGTAAACATTCGGAACTCTGAAAAATGGAATGGATCGCTGTCCTGGACGGTGAAATGGGTTGATGGTCGCCTGGTACGACCGCGACTTCGAGAGCGCCTTCACCGCCCTCAGATCGCTGGTCCAAGGGATCCTAGATTGAAGCTTGTACGGGAGCATGGCGGCACACAAGTCCGTGGATTGCTCAGCGTACTCTGTGATCGCAAACGGAATATCGGCGCTAAAAGGTAGAAATCTTAGATGAAATAACGACCGAACGCAAAAGCTGAAACGCACACAGCAGTGACGTATATGGGATCCGACCAATTCTCATAAGAGAATAGCCCCGCGTTCATGGCCACCATGGCATCAGGGTACTCGCCAACGTCCAAAACAGCTTTTGTCCAGTATTCGGCTTCAACCCAGAGCTTGATAGAAATGGCGCCGCCGCCAGTTTCCTTTGGTGCAGCGTAGCTCCAAACTGTGTCCTTGGTCGCGAGCGACCCAGGATAACGTTTCCGAGTAATTTCGACGAGATCGTGAACCACTTTCCCGAAAAAAATTAGAGTGAGGTCCGTGTTCGGGAGTAAAAGAGCAAGTTCAGAGAATCTATAGATGTGAGAGTGTTATCGACAAGACACGAAAGAGTTGCTCACAATGGGAGAAAGTCGAGTTCCACCTCAACGCCAACATAATGGACTCGCAATATTTGACGCTTGGACGGGGTACTTGCCGGGTTCACCACATCCAGAATTTTTGTCAAGAGGTGATATACTGACAGAGGGAAATCCATCAACAGAGCCGCTGGCGACTTGAGCTCCAGACCTCGCCAAGCGTACCAGGACTCCCAATCTTTTACTTGTCCATACTTTGGTTGCTTCGGCGGCGGGAACTCCTTGGTAAAAGACAAACGCGGCACGTCCTTCTCATCTTTCAACTTCCAGGCGTCAGTGTGATTCGGCCACTCCTTCTTGAGCATAACTTCGCCGTGGGTATAGGGTTCCTTGCGGGGCTTCCGCATTGCTCGATGGAAAACAGGATCTTTAAACAAAGCAGAGATGGAGGAAGGCCCGTCATGGAGGCGCATCCCGCCTGACACAGACCAATACCCAAAATCTATTCCCGATCCTAGGACACCCAAGCGTGCTTTCAAGAGATCGTGACTGCAAGAACCGTCCCATTCTATGCGAGCCCAGGGAAACTTGAGGGCTTCAGACCGGAAGTAAGGAACGTGCCTCATATGCTTCTGTGCGTGAAGGATGGATTATTTTCAAAAGGCGAAGTTGCGGATGGAACACACCTTGTTGCTCGCACAAAGCTGTTTATGAGCTCGGTCCCCAGGCTGGGCGCCAAACTTCCAATTCGTCAATTTGCACTAAAAGTAAATCATGCCCTTGAGTTGCTTTTCAAATTTCAGGTTATTAGACCTACAGCTTTGCTGCAATAAATGATCGCTTTGCATCCACCTATTGGATATGATTAGCAATCTAATTTTGGTTTTTGAATACTAGTACTAACTGCATTTGCGGATGTTTGATTGATCTTCTCCAGCATTTCCATTATAAGCCGCACTTTGGCAGTTCCTGACACCAATTTGCCACTGGTCGAGGGGGTTGAGAGTGGATTCGAAAACGCATCTTCGAGAAGTTTGAATTATAAATGGGAATTATTGGTCCCGAGGTGAACAAAGGAATTCGCTGCAAAGGAACAAGGGGCCAGAGGGAGAGTCAGGTGATAAGTAGACATCACAGGTCAAGCAAGTTGGTGAGAGAATAGAGTTGAAGTTATATGGACATAAACAAGACGGTCGTAATGTTGCCGGTAAGAAAAGAATGTCAAAATTGGTTTGCCTTCACCACCAGGCTCTTGAAGCTGCGCACCAACGAGTGGTTATGGGCGAGTGTCCCATTCCCGGCATTTCAATTCGCGAACGCACGTCAATCCATCGCCTTACCATTTATCTCGGAGTCGCTTTCCCTTCAGTCCTAGCTGCGTCATCTGAAAGGGTTCAGTGATACTCACTTATAATACAAATTTGCTTTTTTTATCTGCACGACCCAAGAAAACGAAAGTATCGTGCAAGAACTATCATTCCCAAACGCCTGCATAAAGAAAACCATCAAGGGTGTTCATCAGCGCGCAGTAGTAACAACGGGCATCGCAAATCCATTGTAAACATTCGGAACTCTGAAAAATGGAATGGATCGCTGTCCCGGACGATGAAATGGGTTGATCGTCGCCTCGTAAGACCGCGACTTTGAAAGCGCCATCGCCGACCTCTGATCGTTGATCATGGGAATCCAGGATTGAAGCATCTTCGGAAGCATGGCGGCACACAAGTCCGTGGATTGTTCAGCGTACTCTGTGATCGCAAACGGGATATCGCCGCTATTAAGGTAGAATTCTTAGATAAAATAACGACGGAAATTAGAAGTAGAAACGCACGCTGCGGTGATGAGTATGGGATCAGCCCAACTCTCATAAGCGCATAGCCCCGCGTTGATAGCCACTATGGCATCAGGGTACTCTCCAGCGTCCAAGACAGCTCTTGTCCACAGTTCAGCTTCAGCCCAGAGCTTGATAGAAATGGAGCCGCCCCCAGTTTCCTTTGGTGCAGTGTAGTTCCAAACGGTGTCCTTGGTCGCGAGCGACCCAGGATACCGTTTACGAGCAGTTATGACGAGATCGTGAACCACTTTTCCAAAGAAAATCAGAGTGAGGTCTGTGTTTGGGAGTAAAAGAGCAAGTTCAGAGAACCTACGGATGTCAGAAACTTATGCGTAAGGCACGAAAAAGTAGCTCACAATGGGAGAAAGTCGAGTTCCAGCTCAACGCCAACATAATGGACTCGCAATGTTTGTCGCTTGGATGGGGTACTTTCCGGGTTCACCACATCCAGGATCTTCGTCAAGAGGTGATATACAGAGAGCGGAAAATCCATCAACAAAGCCGCTGGCGACTTCATCTCCAGGCCTCGCCAAGCATACCACGACTCCCAATCCTTCACCTGGCCATACGTCGGTTTCTTCGGCGGCGGGGAGTCCTTGGTAAAGAACAAACGCGGTACGTCCTTCTCATCTTTCAACTTCCACGAGTCGATTTCCTTCGGCCACTCCTTCTTCAACATAATCTCGCCGTGGGTATAAGGCTTCTTGCGGGGCTTCCGCATCGCTAGACCGAAGACAGGATCTTTCATCGTCGCCAAGGTGGAGGCAGCCCCGTCATGCGAGCGCATCCCGCCTGGGACAGACCAATACCCGAAATCTGCTCCGTATCCTAGGACACCCATGCGTGCTTTCAAAAGATCGTGATTGAAAGAACCGTCCCATTCTATGCGAGCCCAGGGAAACTTGAGAGCTTCAGACTGGAAGTAAAGGACGTGCTTCATATGTTCCTGTGGGTGACAGATGGATTAGTTTCGAAAGGTAAAGTTGGGGCTGGAACACACCTTGTTGTTCGCACAGAGCTCTTTGTGAGTTTGGGCCCCAGGCTGTTGGCCAGACTTCCAACTCTTCAATTGGCACTAAACGTATATCAAACCCTTTTGAGTCGTCCGTCGCTTTTCAAATTTCAGGTTGTTGGAGACTTACAGCTTTACTGCAATAAATGAACGCCTTGCATCCACCTATTCAGTAGTCAGAGCATTATCAGCAATTCGAAAATGGGCTTTTGGAAACCACTCACTGCATTGGAGAGGCTACAAAACGAAGTGCCGAATCAGCAAAAAGTTGACGTCCAACAACCCGAACAAACCCACCTTCCACTTCCCAGTCGTCGCGTCCTTCTCACAAAACTGATGACATTGACTACACTGTTGAGAGAGGCGCCATCATTCATATTCAAGCGCCCATGGGTACAATAGCCGCAAAAAGACTCACAGCAGCACCCGCACTAAAATCCATCGCCTTGATCTTATCCGGATCATCTCCCCGTTTCTCGGCATCCTCCCACTCCTTCGCTTTCTCGTACACCCTCTCGAAAATGAGGTCAACAGCCGAGGTCTTGTTGACGATTTCAATCATTTGTCGCATCCCAGGATAAGGTCCTGACGCCATTTTGCCACTGGTGGTTTGTGGAGGGGTGAAGGAGGTTGACAGTGACAGAGGAAGAGTTAGTAGGCGTTATATAATTTATAGGTAGCATCATGATCAATAGTACGTAAGTAAGCAGCAACGCCAAGTCGGGGTTATAGAAGATCGTCTGTGGAGAATAAAGTACGTAACGTAAGTATATGAACACGAACAAAAGGTCGTAATATAATCCAAAAAACAACAAGAGGAGGCAAGGTCGACAGTGTACAAGTAAGTAAGTCGAAGAGAATGTCGAATTTCCCTTGCAAATAAATATAATAGCAACAAGTCTCGAGCTCTCAAGCATCATTGCTGCATCGGCATATCAGGTATCAAATAATGCAACGGCTTACCCTCAACACCACCAGGCCCAAAGCTGCTCTTATGCACCAATTCCTGGTCATGTACAGCAACAGCCATATGCGCAAGCGAATGAACAGACCCAGGCCGACTCCTCGTCCTTGACCGCGTGGTATAATGTCCCCCATTCCCATTCCCATTCGCACGTAAACTAGCATCAGAGCCATTAGATCTCAAATCAGGGAAAGCAGCAGCAGCGGCGGCATGCGTCGGCGATACAGGCGAAGGTTGTTGTGACGACAGCTCAAGCTCATGGTCTTCATACGCCGGCACCGGTTTTCGCTTCTTACTACCCCCACCCAACGACGCACGGTTCGCCTTTTTAGCGTCAGGCGTAACGGGGGATTGGAGTGGTGCTTCCTGTTGATGATGATGGTAAAAGTTATTTGGCGTAGATGGCTGTGTAGCGCCTCCGGTGGAGGTTGATCGGTTGAGTGGTGATGGGTATGGCCCTGTAGATATAGGTGGTGGGTAACTTGGGGAATCGAAGGATGCCTTCCGGACCGATTCCGAGACGGAGGGCCGTCGGCCCCGTAGAGAACGGGAATGGGCGATGGGAGGGGCACCCCCGAATTCCATGGTGCCGACTGAGTATCCATTATGTGAGTTGGAGGTTGATGCCTGTGAATAGGAGCGTGAGAGCCTCCTGCCCATGGGCTCGTGGCCCTGACTGTGCTGTAATGTAGGCAAGGTCGCTAGCGACACCCCCGTTTCCTGTTCGTATGGGGAACCATATTTGCCTGGGGACGGGGAGAACTTGTCTTCAGGCGCTGTGCCTTCGTCAGAGCCCATGTTCGCCTGCTCGAGAGAATCTTCTTGTATGCTATGACGAGAGGACTTGCTATTGTACGCTTGCAGCCCCGCATGCGAATCCGTTGATTTGAGTCCGTTCCAGCCTTTTGATCCCCCTCCTCCTCCTTTGAAGTTCCTGTTCCGCTTCCCAACTTTGCGTCTCCGGAGCAAACAGAAGAATATCGCGGCGACAACAAAAAGTAAACCGAAAGATCCAATTACAATCCCTACAATAGCACCCGTGTTGATTGAGGACGAGGAACCCGCGACGAGTATCGGTGTCGTTGTCGTTGAAGAGGATGGTAGAGGGTGTGATGCTAATGTAGAGGCTCCAGTGACGAGACATGAGGTATTGGAACCCGTGCTAACGAAAAACGCAGCAGAGGTCTGTATGAAGGACTGGCTGTCAATTCCAGCGTATAGCCGATACCACCCTTGTGGGACGTTAACGGCGGGCCATGTAAAGTTCATCAAAGTAGGATCAAGCGCAGCGGCGAGTTTAACGGTGACGGTGGCTAGAGCTTGTATGCCTGGAGATACAGTGCTTGTCGATACTCCAGATACACTGCTTGAGCCAGATTGTGGCACATTGAGATTGGTAACTGTCAAGCTCATGGGGGATTCGGGGCCGAGGTAGAACCATACTATTAACGTTGACGTGCAGGTGGTGAGTTGGTTGATGGTGTCGAATGTGAGAATCGCTGAAGGGGTGACGGTGGCTGCACTTGAGGTAGAGGTTACAACTGAAGATGAAGGAGATAAGCTCAGGAACGTAAGTATGAGAGAGATATAACACATACCTATCGACGACGTTAGTACTGAGCCAGGAGGGAGTTAGACCGACTTGATGTCATACATTAGTGGACGTCGTGAATGTAGATCATTACGATACATACCGTTACCTGATGATGATTGCTCAAGTGAAGAACCAGAAACGGTGGTGCCTTCATGGGATTAAGCGTGGGTGCCAGTGACTGGGAAGATCGACGGTACCTTGTCTCCCCACTAGATCGACGTCCCTTCCATAAACCCCTTCATTCAAGAAGGAGAGCAATATAACAAGCACTGGACGAAGTCGAAGGAGCAATCGAAAAACCATATCAGCTTTGCTGTTTGGTGGACGAAGATGAGGTACCCAGCCAGCTCTTGTTGAAAAGCCACGCGGGTATCACTCAGCTCGACAGCAAGGTAGCGGCGATAAGTGTTGGTGGTGGTGGTGGTGCAGCACCGTCTGTAGCCGCCAATCACCGTTTGAGACCGTGAGTATAGGAAAGGGTTGCCATCAATCACAAAATTCAAGCTTAGAAATTCTCCACTTCTCTCGTCGCCGACGTTCACCCGGCATTTGCGCAGTCGTCGTGCAGCGAGGTAAGTCTGATTTACAAGTGGTGTACAAAAGACCTTTTCTTTTCTCAAATTATAGGTTTTGTCGTTCAACCAACCCCTCTCTTCCTGTTACACGATATGTCATCTCCTCACTCAGGCCAGTGTAATTGGCGGGGTCGCAAAGCCTTTTCAACTGTTCGATTCCAATTCCGGACTCCGTGATCTCCTTGCGGTCACAAAGGAAGTCGAACAATGACCGCTGGGAGTCCTTATCCTGCGCCAACTCCCTGCACACATCATACACCAAATCATGCGCAACTTGCCTCCCAATCATCGGTCCAAGCCCCATCATAACCGCCTCGCTAACTATAGCCCCCCTCGTCAACTTCAGATTCTTTTTCATCACTCCAGGGTGAACCTCCAGTCCCTCAATCAAAGCCTGGGTATGCACCAACGTCGCATGAGTCATAGTCGCCATCTGCGGCAACACAATCCACTCAATCTCCCAAGGACCCGTGCTTCTCTCATGGTCCTCCACCATAGCATCGAATAAAGCTGCACTCAACTGCTTCACCGTGCTAGCCATAGCAGTGATATACACACTCGAAATCGGATTTCTCTTCTGTGGCATCGTGCTACTGGACCCACGATGCGGTGCGTAAGGTTCAGATACCTCCCCCACCTCCGTCTGCATGAGCAACTTGACGTCCAACGCGAATTTCGCACAGGTCCCCGTCACCAACGCGAAGAACGCGCCTATTTCGGCAATACGATCTCGTTCGGTGTGCCATGCAATGTCAGGCGCTGCCAGGCCCAGACGCTGTGCCAGCGCCGCTTGGACTTCCATTGCCTTTCCGGTACTTGCCAAGGTAGCCAGCGTTCCCGCAGCTCCACCGAATTCAAGTACGAGCAAACGAGGAAGGATCTCAGATAGACGTTGTTGGTGACGTTGGAAGGTCGCTAGCAGTCTTGCCATTTTGAATCCGAAGGTCATGGGTACAGCCTGCTGCAGGTTGGAACGTGCAGGCATCGGAGTGGCAGCATGTTTCCTAGCGAGAGCACGCAGTGCCGCAGTTATCCCGTTTAACGATTCCGATACTATGTTGCACGTATCCCTAAGCTGCAGGACCGTCGCTGTATCTGTTACATCCTGTAACACATATATCTCAACTTTGCACACATCTCTGAGATTGATACCACGTACCTGCGTCGTTGCACCCCAATGAGCCCATTCGCCCAACCCAGGTTCCACCTCATTAACCAATCTAACCAACTGCTTCACCAGAGGAAGTACCGGGTACCCAATCCTCACCGTCTCGACCCCCAGTTCCTGCATATCGATCAAGGAGATATCACATTCCGACCTGATAGCCACTGCGGCTTTGGGCGGTATGATGCCTAGGTTAGCTTGGACTTCTGCTAGGGCTGCTTCGAACTCGAGGTAGTACTTTGTGCGGCGTTCATCGGACCAGATGGCAGCGGACACAGGGGTTGAGAATATGTGTCGGAAGATGAGGGAATCAGTGACGCTCGACATGGTTTACACACTTAACGCGACTTTGGGCAACAGTGGAGCTCAGTTGATTAATGTAGAGACAGTGACACATGGTGCTTCATATACATAGGTCACGATATCATAAATGAAAGACGAGTATAAACTCTAAGGGAGACGAGAGCGAGGGATGATGTACTCTAACGTATAGTAAAGGACGATGCAAACTGTCCAAGTTCCAACGCAACTAGTACTCATCTTCGTCAATAGGACAATCTGGCATTTCTTCATCTTCTATCATGATAGCGACTCGAGAGCCCGTCAACAACTCTTGCAACAGCCCCGGCATGGAAAGCAAAAGCAACGTGCCCGTTAAATAGCTGAATTGTACGGGCACCGTTCCTAAAACCGTAATCGGAACCGGCTCGTTATCGAGGTATTCGATCAACTGCTTGACAGAGGGGGAATCAGGGTGTTCTTTGATATAAAAAACCGTCACGACCATCGGGTAAGACGGCAAAGACGCTTGAACCGTGTTGTTATGTGAGGAAAATGCGATTGGCAGATCCAATCCTTCACGAAGAACACGCAAGGCAGGGAACGACAAATGGTAGTGATCAGGATTGATATTGTTCGTGATATCCTTCGAAACGAACGGTCTTCCAGTGTCCAAGAGCTTGTTAAAGGCCGCACACCAGCATTGCGTGAAAGTCCGACCACTGGCATCCGAGGCCGTTCTCGAGTTCAAAAACTGCACACAGCTGGCAACGACGAACTCTACCCTTGCACCCTTGGCCTTGTCGCCCTCTATACAATTGACGCTACAGCACGAATCCACGATGAAAAGAACGTCCAGCCAGGATTGAGCTGAAGCCTCCGTCTTCAAATCTTGAACAACACTCGTTAGGTTGATTTCTGGCCCTGTGCCATGCTTCTGATTCATCGTAGGGACGAGGACGCCGGTATTAGCAATGCTGTGGCCCGCGTAGTGGAAGATGAAAAGCTTGCGACTCTGATTTCCAGAAGGTAATGCGTTACACATATCTCGGGCTAGTTTCATGTTGGTGTGTTCTTGCGATAAGATATACTTGTACGCGTCCACGTTATGGAGCTTCTGAATGGTCTCGATGAAAAGAGAGCTATCTTTATCTGCACCAGTATCGTCGGAACCCCAGTAGGTCGAGAAGACCGCAATCTTGTCGTAGACATTGTTGGACGTCGCGACTCCTAGGCGCTGAATCGCGTCTTGGATTTCTGTATCCATGATTTGGGTTAGAATTCCTTCACAAACTTGAAGGGACATCACATACCAAGAGTAGAAGAAGGAAAACAGTAGTTTACGCCATTGATATATGACATTCTGAGTGTGGAAGTCCGGGCGAAACTGAGAGTGAGGGTGGTTCAAGTTCAAGTTCAAGTTGTGTCTCGAAGCCGTGCTATTTATAGCTATCCAATGACAGAAATAGGAGAAATCCCTGATAATATACAAGAGACGAAAGGAGAGTGGTTCCGATTGGCTTGTCTCGAGTGTCCTCTCCTGAACCCACCAGGAAACGTGCTAGTCGGGCTAGGCGGGGAAATTGCTGATGAGGGGTTGGGGGGACGTATTGATTTTTTCCAATAGTCACCTTGAGAACACTCGAAATTGGATTTCTGCTCTGGAGCATCGTGCTACTGGACCCACGATGCGGTGCGCAAGGTTCAGATACCTCTCCTACCTCCGTCTGCATGAGCAACTTAACGTCCAGCGCGAATTTTGCACAGGTTCCGGTCACCAACGCGAAGAACGCCCTATTTCCGCAAACCGGTCTCGTTCCGTGTGCCATGCAATGTGAGGCGCTTCGAGGTACCAGCGCCGCTCGGACTTCCATCGCCTTTCCGGTATTCACTAAGGTGCCCCCAGCTCCACCAAATTCGAGTATAAGCAAACGAAGAAGGACATCTGATGGATGCTGCTGATGACGCTGGAAGGTCACTTCTTGCATCCGAAGGTCTTGGGTACGGCCTGCTGCAGATTGGAGCGTGCAGGCATTGGAGTAGCAGCATGTTCCCTAGCGAGAGCACGCAGTGCCGCAGCTACTTCATTGAGCGATTCATGTTGCACGTATCCCCAAGCTGCGGGACCGTCGCTGTGTCTGTTACATCCTGCAACACATAAATTTCAGTTTTGCGCACATCTCTGAGATTGAGCGCGACGACTACCACAGACCTGCGTTATTCAAATTGCACCCCAATGAGCCCATTCACCCAATCCTCCACCTCATCGACCAGGTTAACCAACTGATTCACCAGCGGAAGTAATGGGTACCCAATCCTCGCCGTCTCAGCCCCCAGGTCTTGCCAATCGATCAAGGAGTTTGGACGTGACAGCCACTGCAGCTTTGGGCAGTATGATGCCGCCTAGTAGTTCAGCGTAGACCTCAGAACGCCGCAGAGGTTTGTATGAAGGACTGACTGGCTCTCAATTTCGGCGTATAATCGACACAACCCTTGTGGGACATAAACGGAGGGCCATGCGAAGTTCAGCGAAGTAGGATCAAGCGCAGAGGCGAGTTAAACGGTAACGGTGGCTGGATTTTGCAAGCCTGGAGATACAGTACTAGTCGATGCTCCAGATAGACTGCTTGAGCCGGATTATGGTACATTGAGATTGGTAACTCTCAAGCTCATGGGAAATTCGGGGCCTAGGTAGAACCATATTATTGACGTCGACGTGCAGGTAGTGAGTTAGGTCGATAGTGTTGAACGTGAGAATCGCTGAAGGGGTGACGGTTACATAGGGGTTGAGGATATATGTAGGTCCAAGGATGAGAGACTCAGTGATTCGACATGTAGGCAACCAGCCCAGTTGGTGCCAGAGACTGATCAACTTTGTAGAGATACTCATCTACTATGGTAACTATCAAATAGCACTTCATTTATCACGAGTAGAGTCGGACTCGGAGTCCTACGAGTACTATTCACTGGTCGGAAACAAAACACAAGCAGCACACATTACTATTTATAAGATACGAGAGCACGAGAGGATGTTCTTTGAATGTGTTCCTCTTCAATGAGCTGTCGAGCGTAATGGGAACGATGCAAACTCACCTTCTGATTCAACTCATCTTCTAACATGAAGGCGACTCGGGAACCAGCAAGCAACTCTTGCAAAAACACAGACATGCGAAGCACAATCAACGTGCCAGATACTGGCAGTGTTCCCAAGATCGTGATTGGTACTGGCGTGTTGTTGAAGTATTCGATCAACTGCTTGACAGAGAGGGAATCAGGATTTTCTTCGACATGAAAAACCGTTACGGCCGTTTGGGAAGTCAACACGGACGAAAAAGATGATTCGATCGTGCTGGGATGGAGGGAAAACGTGATGGGCAAATCCCATCCTTCAAGCAGAACAAACAAGGAGGGAAACTGCTCGAGCTCAGAGTCGGAATTGATATTCTTGATGATGTCCTCGGAAGTAAAAGATTTTCCGGCGTCCAGCAGCTTGTTAAAAGCTGCACACCAGTGCTCCGTGAAAGTCCGGCCATCCGAGGCAGTCACTCCCTTGCGTGCAGCGCCAGCGACGGACTCTATCCTCGCGCCCTTGGCCATCGAGCCCCATCCACTGACAGAGATAGGAGTAAAGCGTGTATCCACAACGAAAAGAACGTCCAGATCTTGACACGAAGCCTCCGCCTTTAACTCGTTTTTCAGTCTAGATAGGTCTAATTCTGGCCCTTGGCCCGGTTTCTGACCGATTTTTGGGGTGATGAATGTGGTACCAGGAATGCCGTGGCCCGCATAGTGAAAGATGAAAAGTTTGCGACTCGAAGCCCTGGGTGGCAATGCGATAAACACATCTCGAGCTAGTTCCATGTCGGTGTGTCCTTGCGGTGACAGGATACATTTGTGGGCGTCAACGTTCTGAAGCTTCTGAATGGTTTCAATGAAAAGAGAGCTGTCTTTCTCTCCGCCAGTATCGTCAGAGCCCCAGTGAGTTGAGAGAACCGAGATATTATCGTAGACATTGGAGGTTGCGACTCCTAGGCGTTGAATCGCGTCTTTGATCTCTGTCTCCACAATTTGTGTTTGAACTCTTCGCAAAGGGACGTTACCAGGAGCGCTAGAAGGGTACCAGCGGCTTGTACTATTTGACATTCTGAGTGTGGAAGTCCAGGTGAAACTGTGGTTCTAGTTCAAGTTGTCTTGGAACTCCGACCCCAAAAATTTCAGCTGAAACAAGGGGTTTTATAAGGAAAAAGTGTTTTGATATCGTAAGGAGAACTGAACAGAAAATAAGAGAAATCCCTGCACATGCAAAGACCAAAAAGGCCAACAACTTGAAAGGAAGGATAAAATACATCGCTGCACAGAAAGACAAAGAGACCGATTAAAAGAAAGGATATACTCCAGGTATTGGGGGATCAATGCAGTTAATTCATCGGGCAGGCGGGGCGTGCGCTGGATTCACTGACGACCCAGCCATCCTGTTCGCCAAACCATCGACTTGCTCTTCCTCATTAATCCTGCCCCCTGATCCCTCCAACACGCCCTGGATGAGCGACATCGTGCTCTCCAAACTCCTCCTCCGCGTACTGGGACTCGTCATCGTCGTTCCGAGACTGGCCTGTCTCGAGTGTCCTCTCTTGAACCCACCAGGAGACGGGCTAGTCGGGCTATGCGGGGAAAATGCTGATGAGGGTGGGGTGGGGGTAGGGGCCGTATTGATTTTTCCGGGTGTCGCCTTCCTCTCCAATCCCGCAGCAACGCCGTTTGACGTGACGGGTTCGGGAGCAACCTCCGCCGTTTCCGCTGGCGTAGTCGGCTGCGAAATGATGGCCTTGCCCTCCTCCGAATCAGCATCGAATAAGTCTGGCGGCAAGCGTTCGTTCTCGATATCCGATTTGCGGCTGCATTTGGTAAGCTGGTGCACGAAGTAAAGGCATAGTTAAACGTACGCATCGTCGAATCCATTGATAGCCTCCCTGATACCTTCCGTACCCAAAGCAAGTGTACCGTATGGAAGCTTGCTTGACCCTGATACGCTCTTGAGCTCTGACACTTTCTCGGATTCCTCTCTGAGGGCATGTGAGAAGAAAGAAAGCAGCATATAGAAAGAACGCACCTGAGCAGCGCAAACACCCTTGCCATCCGTCCAACAGCCATGATTTTGTTCTTGATAATCTTTCTCCGTTCAGATTGTTCATGATGGGCTGTAGCAGGTGACATCAAAGCCAATTCATCATCGCTCTCTTCCAATTCCTCCTTCGTACAGGTGTTGAGCACGGCAACAAGCATGTCCGTAACTGGATGACGTTAAATTTTAAACACCAGGTGGGATAACAACCACAAACTTTTCTCTCCAACGAACGGCAGACTCCAGGTGAACACATCCATGAAATTGGGTAACCAGTACGGATGTGGGGTGCAGTTGAATTGCCGGATGTTCATGACATTACTTTCGTACTTGAGCACCGCAGCTTTGTTGTTATATACGTCAAGGTAGTTGGGGGCCGAGAAGATGGTCATGACAGAGGGAAAGCCAGTCGTCTTTGTTTTGCGGTACATGCGATATCCAGCATCCTGGGCCTCGTGAGCTCGAATGATAGACAAGAGGTTGTTGCGTTCCAAGAATTGGCAAGCAGCTTGGTAGCTAATGGACTGGTCAGCGATGGGTGGCAAAAGAAAAGAAGATGGCTCACGTGAAAAAGTAGGAGCAGCCGCGTACATGATTGTGCAAGAAACTATCTGTTGTTTTTTCCGTTCCAAAGTCTTCTACAGGATCAGCCCATAATATGTCGCACATAAGCCCACTTGTAGGTGGTTCACGGAACCGATCGATCTAAAAAAGTGTTAGGGTAGAAAAAGGTTGAGGGGATATACTTACAGCACGGATATCATCAAGGGTGGAAAGTTCAGGCGAAAGGCCACCGTGTATACACAAGAATTGCTTGTTCATGATGGCCGCGAGAGGCAAAGAGCAAAAGGATTCCATGCACGCATCATACACCTGCTCAGAGTACTTGTGCTTGCCTGGAATCAATCATTAGTACGCACTGAGATAAGGGTGGTATACTCACATTCGAGCTTGAAGGTAAAGTAATCCGTTAGATGACGACATTCGTGGTTTCCCCGCAAAAGGAAGAGGGTGTCAGGATACCAAATCTTGAGGGACCATAGATATAGAACACACTGACAGCCAATCAGCATGGCCCAGTTTTGAATGTCCGAGGAAAACTAACTTCTATGCTGAAATACCCTCGATCGACATAATCCCCGAGAAAAAGATATCGTGTGTCGGCCGGACTCCCTCCAACTTCGAACAGCTTCATCAAGTCGTACTGTGGAGACGGTCAGGGGAGACAATTGCAGAGGGTTCGAGCCACTCACATATTGGCCATGGATGTCTCCACAAACTACAGCCCTTGATCATTAGACAGTCGTTCACGGTAACGCCATTGTTGCATACCAGTGATAGGTGCATCGACCTGCAACACATTCCCTTCTTTCCTGAGGACTTCGGTACCTTTCTCCAATATCCACAGAGCTTGCTCCTCTGTCAATCGCCCTTCACGATAAAAGTGATTCTTGAGGAAAGCGATGTCAGGTTTTGAGCGATCTTGTCCACCCCTGTTATAGAACTGTTCCGGCGTGGGCTTGAACATTGCGGGTGCTTGCACCTGGCATAGTTGGGTGAGATTGGGGTGGATCAGGGTTACTGGGCCCAGTATACATACGTCCTTCACGACTCGCTCTTGGGTGCTGATGACGTTGCCATCTTCGAGAGTGTGCAGGGTATAGTCGATGTCGGGAGGTGCGGGGGCTTTGACCTGGATTTTCTCAATGGCACGCTCGATGTGGGTGCTCATCGCGGCAATGATCTGATTGTAGAGGTCGTCGAAGGATCACTGAGGCCTGTGCACCGGTGCTGTGGTCAAAGAGGGGATGGAGGATGTGGAGGAGAAACAAGGAGATCAAGAAGATTACGACACAATTCACGTTTGTGTGCCCGCGTGCCCGCGTTCCTTGGCAGACAATTACATGCTACTTAAATCTCAAATTATTATAAATGCCACTTTCACTGCCTTACGGCGCTCAAGCATCAGGTTGTAATTGTAAACGTTCATCGGATACGCTCCATAAATACACTGGCCAGCTCTACAACTTCAAGGGCCCTGGGAAGTATGCGTTCAGAACATGCTTAGCCACATTGAAACCCAACAAAGAGACAATATAGGCTGTGAAGAGTGGGAGTAGAGGGGAGAGTAGGAGCTCTGAGCGGACTAAAAACGGTAGAGCTGTATCAGATAGGAATCAGTGGGTGAAGGCAGTGAAGGCGTTCGGCAATTCATACCGCTGAGTCCGAGGTAGATTCCGTAGGTATATTGGGCAAACCTGTGTCATGGCGTCAATTCCCGAGCGTACAAACAGACTAAACGCTTACGCAGCTAGGTATAGTGTGTTACCAACCCATAGACACACCCAGTTGTCCTTGAGGACGATTGGCAGAAGGAAGAGCTGTGCAAGGTAAAGAGTGAGGAAGAGAGGAAAGAAAGCATTCGTATGAACGTCGAAGGCGTATGCCCATTCTACTCTCGAGTCGGCTGGCGTGGAATGTGACGGCGGTGAAAGGAGCAGACGATTGGCAGTAAACCTGACATGATGACTCCGTAAGCCGGTGAGGTATGAGGATTGACTTGAAAGTACCATAAAATGGTTGATATCACTATTCCTGATAGAAGGAAGTCGCGCAAAATCATGGTTACGGCCAAATTGATGATGCTCCAAATATCCCTCGAGTAAATAATGCCCCAAGCGATGGCGGATACTGAGGAAAGCCTGAGTTAGTACGCCACATATACGTCTACGCACCACTCACCACACAGACACGCTCCAATAAGGACCAAAATGGCAGGGTCGTCTCTTGACCAAGTATTTTTCGTTTCTAATACCAAACGTCAGGCCGCTGCCATCATCGCGAAACTAATTCACCAACGTTTGTGAAAATAAACATTTCGGTAACTGCATCAACAGTTAGACCATCGTGCGGCGCGTTTAGAATGGAAAAGCTTCGCACTCACACCCTCCTCGGCGCGAGGCAGAGATAAGTCAACTGCCATGCTGCAAGCTCAAAGTCCTAGAAGTTTCATCAGCAAACTTGAAAGCTTCGAATACGTCAAAACATACGTACCATTTGTTGGAAGCGGTGAAATCGCCTGAAAATTACTGGCACCCGAAACGAAGCATTGGTGCGACTTGACATGTTACCGTCTTCTGGCGAAAATGATGTACTTGTTGGGAGCACCATTGTCGAATTCGCTGCCCTTGGTCGTCGAAACAAGGCCAGCGTAGAGATTATGAAAGTATATTACAAGGAAATAGTCGAGCGTGGGCGAACAGTTCGTTGCTGGAGGTTGGGGCAGGCAGCAATGCGGGATTTGACTTTTAAGTCGGCGCTTGAATAGTGCAACGAGGAAAAACAAGCATCTCGTCGTCAGTACCGCCCTTTTCCCCAACTTCTTCGCCATTTTCCCTCCCTATGGAAGAAGACAACGAACTCCTTGACTGGGGCAATGAAGACGACGAGCACCAGGACCTTCACAGGAAAGGCTCTATAGAGCAACGAGGTGATGTTGACGAGATGGAAGATGCTGTGTCTCTGGGGGAAGACGAGGATGAGCAAGGGTATTTTGCCTACCAGCGCGAGCACGAAGACGCGTCTGGATCACTAGGCGACAAAGACCTCATTTCTAGGCCAGCTTCTCCCCAAAATTTGACAGCCCACTCCAACAGCAGCGACCACCAGTCTCACCACTCGTCTCAGGATGTCATCCAGGACAGCTCATCCACTTTGAATAGGCCCCCCTCCTCCAGGGATTCTCCTCGCCGCCGCCAGAACTCCAAGAATAATCATTCTCCTCAGCGCTCTAGTTCTCTTTCCGCTAACGCACTTAGGCTTACCCATGCGCTTCCCCCGAAACCAGTTGTCGCAAACGTGCCATATCTGCCCCCTTCGCATCCATCGATCGTTGAAGCTACCAGTATGGTTAGTGCCACCAGGACTGCAGGCCGCGAGTCGAAAAAGTCAAACGGAGTCTCTGCGTCTGCTGGGAATGGCAAATCCACCAGCTCTGCCGCGGTTGAGCGCGATTCTAGCTTGCCTTCAGAATGGGAAGTGAGACACCCCAGAAGCGGTGGTGGTGTATATTACTACAACAGCGAAACACATCAGTCGACTTGGACTCGTCCTCCCGTGAGCCTATTCTTCCTGGAAATCCCGCAGCACCAGCATTTGCCGCTGTTGCGGAACTAGCGTGTCTGCGGGAGACAATCCTTGGAGTCCACCCTTTCTAACTCATCTCACTCGCAGTCATTACGAGCCACCCGTGGCACTTCAGCCTCTCAGCCTGATTTTGATATAACAGAGGCCTCAAAGCATCCCTCGTCGTCAAACCCGCTCTCTTACGAAGATCGACACTACCGGCCTGCAGGAAGCGAACCCGTGCCTCCCACGGAAAGTCGGTCTAACGACAGGACTCAAGAGGCTTCCAATGCTCACTATCACCGTCAAGATGAATATGCTGTGACTCCTCCTGCATCTCCGACACGTTATAGGGACCGAGAAAGGGCCAGATCTCTTTCTCCTAATCTTGAGCCAGAGGCAGCTTATTCTCGGAGTAGAGATCGAGAATCACGCTCTGGCCGTAACTCACAGCGTCCAGGTCGTGGAAGGGTTGCCACTAACGCAGATTCTCCAATACAGCATAGGGAACGTGAGCACCCATCGGCTGGGCCTGATTACCCTGAGCGACATTGGGGAAGGCCCCCACCCGTTCCTCCCACAGAATACACCAGCAAGAATGACCATTCGACACGTCGTCCCCCTCGTCAACGGCAGCAGGGGGACGATACCTCGTTTGAGCATGTTGCTGACGATCGAGACAGGGCTCCCTTGAGAAGGAGTGCCAGTAATCGGGTGTCCAACAGGGACCGTGAACCCGAAACTAGGGAGCATCTTGTACAAAATCCAAGCATACCCACATCTAGTACGTTATCAGCCTCATCCCACCCTCACTCTCCCCACCTCTCGTACCCGTACATGGCAGCCTGGTTCGCGCCATTGCACCTCAGGTTTCTGAAGAGCCTGGTAGAGGCTGTGTGCCAGCTGCATCATCTGTACCCCCTTCGTGTTCCTCGGCTCCTCCCTCCTCCCTTCCGACTCCAGGACCCTTATCATGGATTACTTTTCTTTCTTTCCATTTTCTCACTCGTCTCACTGTCAACCACTTGTCCCCTTTTCTCATTCATGTCTGTTGTTTCCCCATATTACAGGACATAGGTCTCCTCCTCCGCATATGCGTGACCGCGATGTCCCATCGTACGATCCTGCGAGGGAGCGTGAACAAAAAATGATTGAAGACCCGCAAGCTAGATCAGCCCATCCGCCATCCTCTTCGCGAAGAGAGAAACCGCCTCGTCTCAACAACAGATTAGTCCCAACAACTGCACCATCATCAGCCACGGCGTCAGTCACTTCGGATGGCCCTCCAGCCCGACACAGAGATTATATCCCTTCCGAAGATGTTGAGTATTCTCACCGTCGAGGCGTGGATCGAGAACGAGAACGTGACCTGGACCGTAGTCGTGGCCATGATGAGTTAAACAGACATGCTAACTCCCAGCCAATGATCCCTGTAGATTCTGTCCCTTCTTACTCAAGGTCACGACCTGGCCGGGATTACGATCTGGAGAGAATGCAACCTCCGGTTGATCACGAAAGGTTGTCCATGGCATTGGATCCAGCAGAACAATTATCTCGTACGTTTCTGCCTGCTACTTTGAGTCCACTTCCCTCTCCCTTCTTCTCCCGTTGCTCTATCCCTTCTCTTGCCATCCATTGTACTCAACAATCTTGATTGTTTGACGAAGTAGGTCGGAGCCGTGTACCGCTTCCACCTCAAGAAATGTCCTTCCGTGACACAGTAACAGCAAGACCTGGACCTCCAACTCACGACGTTGATTATCACAACCGAGAACCACCGAGGCAGTCGTTTGCACCGCCCACGCATTCGCCCCCCAGAAATCAATTCCCTAGGTCAGGGCCTCCCATTCAGAGCGTCAACGGAATGCCGCCTACCGGCCCACGTCAACAGCAATTGGATGTGTTTTCTACTTCCAGACTAGCCAGACCGCTTCCGTCTGGTTCTGCAGGTCCTGATTACCCCGGAGACCGTTCTCGCTCTGCTAGGCAACAGCGTGATCGTGGCCCATCTTACGTGCAACGGCCAGGTCCTCCTCCCATTGACACTCGTATAGATGTTGATCGCGATGAGCCTATGTCGTCCTCAAGGTATCCCCCCTCTCCACCGATGAGGAGTGCTGAATCTGCGAGCAGAGGGATGTATGCGGACAGGGAGAATGCTAATGCTGAGGCTCCAAAGGCGCCCAGGGCCATGAAGCATCCTTCAACTTCACCTACGGCGTCTTATGGACCACTGCCACCAGTTGGTAGGTCAAGGGAACGCTCTCCCCCATTCAGTGCACCTCCTGGTGGAGATTCTAGGGATGGAAGAAGGGACTACGACCCAAGACCAGATGGAGGGGTAGCATGGAGGGGTGACCGTTCAGGCCCAGGGCAGCACCTCCCTCCTCCTGTTGAAAGAGGTTTCCCTGTAAGTCTTTGTCCTCCAATGGTGCTGCAGCCTTCTTATGCTTTCTTCTAGCCACGTCGTGGTGACACTCGAGGCGGTCGACCGCCCGTTTTTGCTTCAAGACCCGTACCAGTTTCAGGAACCAACAACATCCCAATCGGAGTCAAACGTCCATTTGACGGCAATGCCCCTCCTCCTCATGAACCTCCTCTCGTACCTCCGATGAATCGATACAATCAGAATCCAGGGCCAATCCCACCTCCAGTTTTAGTGCCGAACGCTGGTTATGACTCTCGTGATTTTCCACCCGGAAAAGCAATTTATGAACGCGTTCGTAACTACCTTTACCACTGTAAGCCATGCTGATGTGTCTGATGATTAGCCTCCACCTAATGTTCCAATGGTCGAAGGATACCGAAACCGCTTTGAAGGTCCTGAACCTACTCGCCGCCCAGAGGATCCATTCGTGAGCATATGCCTGTAATTCCATTGCCAATTGTTCTGAGCATCATGTTTGACAGCCTCCACAACCTTATGAACGTCGTCAAGTACCTCCTGCTCCAGCACCAGCACCAGCACCAGCACCTCCATCAGGTCCTCCATCTGCACCTCCAGCGGACGAGAATAAGCCCAGACGAGAGGCACGGGTAAACTATGCTTGGCTTCTGTCTCGACCTTGATGCTAAACGCTCTCCGACAGAAGTCGCGATTTGACAAGCCGGCAGAATTAGCACCAAGGGCCTGGGTTCCACGTGAACCTTCGCCCAGCTCCGATGTGGCGGTCCATGCCGCCAACGTTGAGAAAGAAGGGAAGGCGCCAACGCCACCACCAGTCTCCAGAGAGCCATCAGCAACGTCCCCAACATGGGACCTCCCAGACCGACCTCCTCCATCTTCACGGTTTTCTGTCGATGAATCCAAGTCAGATGCTCGATCAGTCAGCTCTCGTTCTGGGCCGGTGACGGATGAAAATCGGCCCAAAGAGCTTCTGGAGCGATTTTCTACCCCTCCTGTTCGAACAGGTGATGGAGGCCCTCCAAATAACGGTCCTCGTCAAAGTCATGCATTACCTCCCAATCCGACAACTCATCATCGAGAAACTCACACCTTCCCTCAGGACTCCGCTCCAGGATGGTCTGATGCTCGTCGAGGCTACGAGGATGGTAGACCCAGGAGTCGGTGGGGTGAGCCCAGACGTGATGGTCCAGTCAATCAACACTCGGTTTTGGAGCCCAGTGCTTCTCGCATGGTCGTGGATGAACCGCCTGTTCACAGCCGACCAGAGGAATACAGCGAAACTCGGACTTCGAAACCTATCCGCATTCGACGACCACCTATGGGATCTGGACCTAATGTCACTGCCCAGACACGCGTAGCGTCAACAGCATCAATAGACAGCTACATTCCCTCTGAACAGGCAGCCCCCGCTATTTATGAGCGGGAAGGATACGATCTCGCCAAGCGGATTGAGAGGCCGCCAGGTCCTCGACGGGGAGGATCGTTGTTGGATCGGCTGTCATTGGACGATGGGCCTCCTCCGCCTGTGATTACAGCGAATAACACGCCTCAACAGCCGTCGCTGCGAGATAGGGTACAGCTAGTCCCAGCGAAGAGGGACAGGGAGGACATGATGGGTGATTATTACGATACGTCGTTTGATGGTGATGATGGGGGTATCGATTCCTTGTCGAAGAGGCAAAGACAGAAAGGGGTGAAGCCGAGGAGGGGTAGGAGGAGGGGAGGCCCAGGAGGGATGCCGTAGGATTGCAGAGAGGATTGAAAAAGTTTCTTGAGACGTCGTTCAGATTTCCCTTTGTCAGGTTACGATGCGTTTTCGTAGTACAGGGATAAAAGTAACATGGGATTCGTGTTCACAGTTTAGTTTTGCAAAATACAAGAATTTATTCGTTCAGAAGCGATGTACAGTACTGCCAGTCTCCACGTATGGTTTTAATGATCATGTTCAATCTATCCTTGTGAATCGAAGCGGAAGTCGCAATCTCGAAACGCTCACCTTGCAGCTAATTCATATCAGGAACTTGTCGGACACTACAGAGTGTTAGTCCACTGTTGGTTCTGAGAATACTTATGGCTTGCCACACCATTGTTAAACGGAAGATAATTCAGGGAATGCTTGGTCGTGGCTCCGTTTTGAGGCGCGCATATAGTCACAGTGCTCAGCAGGAGTGTCGGTTCGGTTGAAAGAAGGCGAGGAGGAGGGTACAAGAGAAGATAACTTAGAAAGCCCATGAGACGACTGTGAGCCACTGGAAGATGATTGTGACGACGGGTTCGGAGACTCCATCTCCACATCCATCATGATGCTATCATCACCAGAAAGCTGCCACGACAAGACCTGAGCTTGACCGAGTTGAGATAAGACCTGAGCAGGACTGCCTAGCGCCAGAATGGGCATCTCATGAGCTGTAGTAGCAGACCTAGAGGACGTGTAGGTGGATTGAAACTTGGTAAGATGTTGCTCCCAAGGATGACGCAGTCTAGGGTTCGGGATGAGTGCTTTTTTGTAAGGCTTTCGAGGCTTCCTTAGGCGGGCGTTTGGGTCAGTGGTGTCTGGTACGAATTGGTTGAAGGCGGAAGTGAATTTGTTTTTGGGGTCTGGTTCGACGTTTCCGGAGGTGAGCTCGAGAGAGAAGGAGGAATATCCTGGGAGACTGGGAACCTGAGGTTTCGTCGACTTTGTAGAGAGCGTTGCGGGCATGGCGGTTTGGATGTGTGGCGTTGGTAGGAACACTTTATGGTTGGATTTTTAGATTTCCGCTTTGTGTACTATGCCTCATGCACATGGCCTATGCCCATACCACATCAAAAATAGTATTTGTAAACGCGTTGTGATTGTGCAGGGCAACCTGGTACATACAACGAACGGGAGGGTTTCCGTATGTCGCCACTCCATGCAACCATGACATATCAAGACCAACAGTTGAAGATCCTTATTTCCAAACTTCGCCAGTGAGTGGGCCTCCTGATCTGCTCCGTTGCTTTGCGCCTTTGCCACTGGCCAGTCACCAGGTTTTCGGCTATAAAAACCATGTCATAACTCCTCAGCTTCAACGAACAAAATGCCTTTGTTGTGAAGTAAAGGTAGACCATCAAGGACAGCTTCCAAGATTTCATCGTTATTGAGTTCAATCATGACATTGTCGTCATAACTAAGCCAATATTTGATGTCGATGTCGATCCGACTCGACTCTTTGTAACCGTGAACCAATTGGGTCAGTTACAATGGAGTCTAGATGGCCCCAAACATGAGCGCGACGTAAATCCTTATAAAATTTAGAGTGATTGAAGAGGTTATCGCTGCCTCCAAACTCAATTTCGAGCTTGAGATGTTCAAGTGTGGCAGGGGATGTGAAATTGGCACGAAGAGATCGCATCAAAAAGGACAAGATGGCGAAGTCAGACGATGTTGCGAAGGATGGGCTGATTTGGATTTCGAGAACGCGCAGATGGGACATGAATGGCACAAATTTAGGAAATCTCCTACCACGTGTTGGATTGCAGAAAGACAACACACATTGGTCAATCACCGTATGAGAAGCCGTTGTCGCCGGTGTCAGCGAGCTTGGCTGCTCGCCATCAGAATAGTTGAGCAAGACATCATATAGATGTAATTTGGTAAGGTGGACAATGCCAAGGAAGAGGGTAATTGGTGCATTGTTGATGTTATGAAGGTAGAGGATTTTGAGGGTGGGTGAATGTATGAGAGTCGACAGCGCATCCTTCAGTTCACCGCTTAAGCCACTCCAATTCACAGCATGCACACACCAGAGCGAGAATTCCTCCAGGTGACAGAACGAGAGTTGGAGAATGGAAAGTAGCAACTTGTCAGACTCGGAAGTAGGTTTGGAAAGCCAACCATGATAGACACTTATCCTTCTGACAAAAGATCGAATGAGTGGATTGTGGAGTTGATGAAGCCTCCGGTAAACTAAGTTATTGCTGGATCCAAAAGTAATGCTGTAGAATAGCTGCTTGCGACTTGGGAGAAGGAACGAGGAAGAAACCAGGGCACATTGCTGGAGTGAACGCTCGTCATTGCCAAGTGCCGCAATAACGTTGTCGATAATATCTTGTGGGATTTCCACTGAATGTGCCATGTTGACTGCGATCAAGGATTATCGATTATCGATGAACGCACCAAAGTGTAGCTCGCACTTACATAACAGAGATTGAGTGTCCGCTTAGGGCAGGTTACATCATTACATCCTCCTATTCATAATTCAACTCCTGTTGCCGAGTTCGGTTTTCACTTCAATTTTAGAAACTACTTCCAGCTTGCAGTATGCACACCAAGTACTCTAAGGACGACATAAAGCGCTGGCATCTCGAGCTCCATCCAGACGTTGTGAGAGAGTTGGCTACTAACTCATTTCCGCACCCCATCAAACACGCTTTCCATCCCACCCATGCAAATCTGACCCACACTCACGGGAGTGAAGTAAGAACGCAGGAATGGACTTCCAGACATCATAGGAAACACAGACACATCCAGGTGTCTCCGCGCACCAACAAAAAACGCCATGAAACAACTTTGTTGAGGAAAATGGCGCGTCTGCGGAAAATCGAATACTGGAATATCAGTTGGTGGGTGGCTACGGTACGTCTTATATTCTCTCTGCAATAACACACATTGAAAAGCTAATTGGCTCTCCAATCATAGAGCTTCACATTAGGAAGCATCATTTGGGTCGTCAACGGCTTCACCTCCTGGCTGCCGCTCGTCAATTCCCACTTTGGCGTATCCCTAGTAAGCACGGGCGTCACCACCTTCATCGGCGCGACCATCTTCGAAATTGGATCCATTTTCGGTATGTGGGAGGCCTGGAACAGGGACGATCGCGCCTCGTTTGGTTGGGCCGTTCACCATAATCATGATGAGGAGCGCGTAGAGGTTAAGAGAGAGGAGGTGGAGGTGGCTGTTGTGCAGCGGGGAGGGAACAAGCGCTGGATATGGTTTACGCTTGATAGAAGGTATTGGCGCGAGCTTGGGTTCTTGGCGGCGTTTTGCCAGTTTTGGGGTGCGACTATCTTTTGGATTAGCGGGTACGTTACGGGTTATATGTTGGGCTTGGACATTAACACCGACACTTCTAGTTTTACCGCGCTGCCCTCCATTCAAGAAGGCCTCTTGTCCAGGAATGGCGTAAGAGACGGCGTGTTCTGGACACCACAAGTCGTCGGAGGCTCGGGTTTCATCATCAGTTCGTAAGTTAAGCCCTTCCTTTCCATTTACCCCTCCCTACTCACTACCATTGTATCAGCACATTCATCATGCTCGAATGTCAACACAAATGGTATAAACCAAAACTCCGTGACTTAGGCTGGAACATTGGATGTTCGTATCTCTCTTCCCCTTCAAAATCCTTCCTCAACCCGTCACTAACTCATGTATTTTCCCCCCCCCGTACTACTTACTCTCTCATCCCAGTCTGGAACTTCATCGGCGGCGTAGGGTTCACACTATGTGGCGCATTGGGGTACGGGTCTGCGTTCAAGAGCGGCGTGTTATATCAGAGCTCGCTGTGTACTTTCTGGGCCAGCTGGGCGTTCTTGATAGGGAGCGTTCTTCAATGGTACGAGAGTGTGAATGGTGTTCAATGAATTTTGACGGGGTTGTCGATTTTTTTGTACTAGTAGGTCTGAAGATTCTTTGCTACTCTGGTTCTGAAAGGCGGTTTGAAAACGAATTTTTCGAGCTCATGAGAACAAACAAAAATCGCATATGACCTTACCGCACCTGCATGTCAGGAACAAGGTGCTCTACTTGCTATTCATATCTTCCAGGAAGTATACAATTGAGTAGTAACCGTCGGAGATCAGCCAAGCAGGATCTGATCCGGGCTTACTCAGTCAAGTAGCGCCCATAACTCAACTCAAGACGCTGCTTTAATCCTTTTCCCACATCTGCAAACCGATAATGTTTCTTGAAACCGCCGATGTCCTCGTTGAGAATTACGTTGAACTGTTCTGGTACCTCTTACAGTTGAGATTTTCCCCTCTTCGTCTTTAACAAGTTTATTGAATCATCTGATTATCATCTAATTATCGATAGAGACCACCAGAAGGAGACAAGGTGAATCGTTGATTTTTTGAGGTAGTCGTCTTGTGACGGATGCTGAATACAACATGGTTCCAGAAATCTTCCACGCGTTGACTCCGCGTCCAATGTCAAGGTCCTTTCGAATTCCAGCTCGTTAAAGATTCCAGTCAGGTGGGGTTTTTCATTCGACTTGATGATCCAGCTGATGGAAATCACCCCAGGCGTCTCTCCAAAATCAGGTCAGTATTCTCCTTGGTATTTTATGGCAATTATAGTCTGAAGAAACTTTATTTAAAAGCGTCGAGAAGCCGTCAAGCCCAACACCGGTCGAGCCGTGCGTTCACCTTCGCTCGCAGAATTGAATCCACTAACCAGAGAATTAAATTTATAGGAACCCGACCGCTCCTCCTCTCTTTGCATTAACCATCGGCATCAACAAGTACAACTGTCCTGAATTCACTGTTCTCAGCGGAGCAGTAAACGACGCTGACTCAGTCGAAGAATACCTAAAAGAGGACCTATCCGTGCCTCCCTCACATATTAGGAGTCTACGCGATGAAGCCGCCACAAGAGCCGCTATAATCCAGGGATTCATGGACCTCCGGAGTGATGAGCGGATTAAACGCGGAGACCCGATTCTTCTTTTTTATGCGGGACATGGTGCGGAGACCGATGTCAACGGCGGGAAGGGGAAGGAGGGAGAGAAAATACAGATGATCGTTCCTTGCGATTATGGCGAGGGGGAGGATGGCGTTGATGGGATACCGGATCGGACGATTAATGCGTTGCTTGAGGGACTCGCTAGGGAGAAGGGAGATAATATTGTAAGTGCCGTCATTCTATTCAAACGTGAGGTGACCTGACCAATTGGATTTATACAGACCGTGATTTTCGACTGCTGTCATTCCGGTTCTGGTACGCGCAAAGGGGCGCCGGAGGACCACACCCGTGTCAACCGATCTGCAACACTTATGAAGGATGTGCCCTCTCATCTCGACAACGACATACTGGCAGGTGCCCGCGGCGGTCGACTGTCCAAAGGGTTCCTACAAAAAGGATTAAGATCTCACGTCCTTATGGCCGCCTGTGGCCAAGCACAGCAAGCTGTCGATGATCGCATTCATAAACGCGGTGTTTTTACTCATGCGTTGGTTACTGCGCTAAAAACTATCGGGGCGGATAGATTAACGTATACTGAGGTGTTGCAGCGCATGGAACGTCTTCCAATGTGCGTTCTTTCTAAAACTCGGCTCAAAATATTTTTAATATCAAACTCATGAATTTTACGTTCAGGCAAGACCCGCAGTGCGAGGGGTTTCACCAGGACCGTATATTCTTTCATTCGAAAGCCCCTAGTGCTGGTCGAGTCTTCTACAATGTCCACCTCGACGAAAAAGGTTCTGTAATCATCGAAGCTGGGAGCGCACATGGAATCACATCAGGCACAGAATTTGCGATTCACAGCAGCCAAGACTTCAAAGACGACTCACTCCTCGGAACTCTTGTAGTCACTGAAGTAGAGCCTTTCTCTTGCTCTGCACGGTTTCCTCTTGGTACTGACAAAAATAATCTTCTGGAGAAGGGACCAGCGTTCGCGCTGGAGACCAAGGCTGGCAAACAAGCTGATTTTCGGATCCACGTTCCTCTAGACAAGGCGTTCCTTTGTGTTTTCGACGCCATCGCGCTGGAGATGAAATATATCGATCCTGAGCACGGAAAAATAGTGGTTGTGGAGAAAAAACAAAATCCTGACTTAGAAGTTGCCCTGGAAGGCGGGGGAATCGTTTTCAACATCCTAGATCACCGCATCACGCGGTACGGCTTGACGCGCATGCCGTATTCCGTTGCTGCCGACGTTCAGGAGGTATACCCCGTCATGCGAGCAGCAGCGCATTATTACTGGCATCTCAATCGTACGAGCTTGATACCGGCTTTGGAAGGACAACTTCATGTTGAGTTTACGAGGCTGGAGAAGGCGAGCGTCGATATTAATTTCCAGCCCGTTCTTGGTCCCACTGGACCGAACCTCAATCTCTTTGGCGTCATTGACCTCGTCGCGGACGGGCGTTTCAAGTACGGAATGAAGATCACCAATGATTCCCCTTTCGATCTCTATCCTTCAATATTTCTGTTTGACAACAGCGATTTTTCTATCGGTAAAAAGTTCATTTTTGCGAAGGCGAGATTTATTGAGCTGACTTTGCTCTATGCAGATCCATATTATTTGCCCTCGACCTCGGGACAACGTCTCGACGCACCACTTCCCAAGCGAGGGGGTTCTCTCACTGTTGGCTATGGCTCTGGCGGCGCTGCTCCTTTCACTTTCCAAGTCCGCGATAATCAGAATGTGGATGTCGGGTTTTTCAAGTTTTTCCTGACAACTCAGCCCGTTAGGTACAATAACGTGCCGCAGCCATCTCCATTCGCTTCCAAGCGGGGTATGGTCACGTCACGTCGTGAGACATTATCTATTTTCGCTACAATGACCCTACCCGTGGTGCAAAGGAGGAAACTTTCCACTTTTGACCGGGGAATCCATAACAAGGAAGTCCTCCCCTCCTCCTTCCCGTCTTATCCTTCCTTCCATGGGGGCGCTGTTGCTCCTGCGCGAATTCCAGACATCAATCATGCATCATGGTTGCCATGACTTGCAATAAAAAGCTTCCCTCCCGTTTAGAGGTTTCCCCCATTGGCACAATGTATCTGGGACGGGGATGGTAATGGTTTTTATTTCGCTTCTTTTCACGCTCAATTATGAGTGTATCAAGGAGAACTCGGAGGAAGTCGATGGCGAAATTTCCAAATATCGGGCCTTCAGTGTAAGTAAGTAAAGCAGACGAATGCATAGTGTAATCCTCACGACGTGACCAGGTCAACGCTGCGCGTAGTTTACAACAAGAAAGTCCTACGTCTCTGGCTCGCCCTCCCCCTCCTCCTCATCGTCGTCGTCAGAAAATGAACGTGCTGTTGCCCCTGCGCGCATACCCTCATCCAGAATAGTTGCCATTGTCTTCAACAGAACGCTGTCTTTCCCTTTGCAAGTCGCCAAGTGGCACAGTGTATTTGGAAATCTTCACTTTCCTCACAACCTCTTCGTCGTCCTCCAGAGCCTCTAGAGTTTCCACCGGCACTTTTGCTGTGACGAATATAAAATTTTCAAGAGTAGAATCGGGATAGACTATTCTTGTCTGTATTGTACAAGGAATCAACACTATCCTGAAGTTAGTGGACAAACGACAATACCGTATAGCACTCATCGACGTCCATTTGCACTTGGCAGAATCTGTGGTCCTCTGCAAGGGCAATAAGCATTGCAAAATCAAAGGCCTCCAGAGAGTCATCGCTTTGACCCAGAAAGGACAGCCTCAGAAGATCCGGAATAGTTTCCCTCCTGTAAGTTCCTCTGATCATTTCCCGGAGTGGGGCATCTAGATAGACAAGACAGGGAACGCTTAAACAGTTAAGAATCTTGACTGGCTTCAGCTGATAAAAATATCTGCCGAGCATGAGTCTAGGATGCAGAGTGTTTGCGGTAACTAGCGTACCCCTGCTTACCCCGAACCACTTAGCGAAAGCGACGACTAAAGATCTAAGCTCGAGATAACGGTGTGAACCCTTTTCTTCAGCAGCGGCTTCGTCAAGATCACAGATATAGTCGAATGCGTCGTCGGTATAAGAAAAGCCAGATATATCTGTTTGGGGTATAGGAACGGTGGGCAGGATATCAGGTATGCCCATGAGGGTCACGTCCTTGCGACTCCAAAAAATGGGGTGCTGAGTGGCTAGGTTGCGCAATAAGTTATCAACGTAAAGGTCTTCTTGATTGTTGTTCGTCGGCATCTCGTTGGACGGGAAAGACAAATACTCAAGGATTGGAGAAGAACGTGACCTAAACGCGCGTGACTGACGACGCGTACGCCGTACTCCCATCGTCTTCCAAGTGCACTATCGTTATGGCCACCGCAACACAAGCACCCATTGCGCCTGGCGGTGTCAAGTCTTACTACCAGGCGAAAATTGAATCTGCAGAGATTCTAATCAACCAGAAGACTCAGAACTTACGACGACTAGAAGCACAACGGAATGCTCTCAACGCCCGAGGTGAACAACAGTCAACTATCAGAAGTCTCCGAATAGCGTCTTACCCTCGTTTTTAGTTCGGCTTCTGCGAGAAGAACTTCAACTACTCCACGAACCTGGAAGTTATGTCGGTGAAGTCATCAAAGTAATGGGAAAGAACAAAGTCCTTGTCAAAGTACAACCTGAAGGGAAATACAGTGCGTTCATTCACGAGATCCATCAACGTGCTTGGACGCTGATACACTCGCTCCAGTCGTCGATCTGGATTCGGAAATCGACATCAACTCACTCAAAGCAACGCTCCGCGTCGCCCTCCGTTCCGACTCCTACACAATCCACAAGATCCTCCCAAATAAAGTCGACCCTCTAGTCTCGCTCATGATGGTTGAGAAAGTGCCAGATAGCACATACGAAATGGTCGGCGGTCTCGACCAACAAATCAAGGAAATCAAAGAGGTCATCGAGCTGCCCGTCAAACATCCCGAACTCTTCGAAGCCCTGGGTATCGCGCAACCCAAGGGTGTCTTGCTTTACGGACCCCCGGGTACCGGCAAGACGCTCCTCGCCCGTGCTGTAGCCCATCACACCGACTGCAAGTTCATCCGTGTGAGCGGAAGCGAGCTGGTGCAAAAGTACATTGGAGAGGGTAGCCGAATGGTCCGCGAGCTCTTCGTGATGGCACGAGAACACGCTCCCAGCATCATCTTCATGGACGAGATTGATTCCATTGGAAGCTCGAGAGGGGAGAGTGGGAGTGGGGGAGGTGATTCGGAGGTGCAGCGGACGATGTTGGAGTTGCTTAACCAACTGGATGGGTTCGAGTCGACGAAAAATATTAAAGTTATCATGGCTACGAATCGAATTGGTGCGGGTCTTTTCTACTCATCTCTTTCGTGACTTTGAACAGTGCCCTTGCAGATATCCTGGATTCCGCGCTGCTGCGGCCAGGTCGTATCGATCGCAAAATCGAGTTCCCACCTCCAGGTCCTGAGGCTCGCGTATCCATCCTTCGCATCCATTCACGCAAGGTAAGTAGGTTCAGTCCAACCTTCATCGCAGATCCACTGATGTCAATGGCAGATGTCGCTGCAACGGGGCATCAACTTGCGTGCTCTTGCAGAGAAGATGGGACAGTGTTCTGGAGCTGAAGTCCGGGGTATCTGCACGGAAGCTGGTAAGTCCCCCTTTTTTCCGATCATGTCTGCGTGCTGTCAGTTGATTTTCGACATTAGGTATGTACGCCTTGCGTGAACGGAGACAACATGTCACGCAGGAAGATTTCGAGTTTGCGGTGGCTAAGGTCAGTCTTTGGGTGTGGCTTTCTCTACTACCAATGGGTTTTGACAGCGCTTTGCAGGTCTTGAGGAAAAACCAAGAGGGAAACACTTCGGTCAACAAGCTTTTCTCGTAGACTGCATTTCTAACTTTTCCACTTGTATCTCTTTCGAATCATTTGTTCTCACCTCTCATTGACTTCTGTGTGAAGGCCTACGCTTGGACATGCGTAAGTACATGGATTTTGAACTATCGAACCCAGCGCCCTCCCTTATGACCCCTTGAAGTTCCAACAGCTCCGTTACGACGGGCCGTCCGTCTACAACCTGTCGAACGAATCTGGCTTCACAGTTCCCCTTCACCTTCCATACTTTAATCGGCTTTTGATAGAAATATCTCGTCTGCTTCCTCCTCCGTCTGACCAGTCCATGAAGAGCTGAGATTGAGCACCACCTCTTGCTCTTCGTCCTCTGGAAGCTCCTCATCTCCTTTTTCTAAATCGACCTCTGCGCATGCGGCTGATCAGTGTCGTTTCAGGCTGGCGTAAAAGCGGGGCAAAAACGATGGGGTTGAAGTTTGAAGCACAATCCCTAACGATGGGGGCCTTGTCTCCACCTGAAACACCTGCTTGCCAGATTGCAGGACAGCCGAACAGCGGGATTAGCACTCAGGCAACGCTCCATCGTAACACTCGTATCAACTCGTGGAAAACCCACGATATCCTGTCATTGGTCAAGTAAGATTGGCTCACTAAGTTCTCTCCTTGAACAAGTTTGGGCAATCTTTTCAAAGTCCACCTGGAGTGAACCACAGATGCTACTTTTTGCGGAGGCAGGCACGCAGAAGCCAGCTCCGCCCGTGAGATCGGGTAAAAGAGGCGCTCGAATTTGTGAAAAGCTTTTGCGAGGCGTACAACGCGAGTTACTATGCCGTCGATTGGGTCATGAAAGACAGTTCAGAGGTGTAACGGAAAGTGCACACCTTTCCCTGGGCCGTGCATGGCTTTAGGTGGGGGAAGCTTCCTTGAGGTATCGAGAGACCATACGGACGTCAAATCTTGGATCAGAGGGTATGTGGAGCTACAGGTGTGAGCGTGCATCCCAGGGTTTTTAAGAAAAACGATTAACAACGTACTGGTATGACCAGGGCACAGGTACCCGAAAACGACGGAAACTAGTCGACTATACGGTGATCAAGATCCAAGAATAACTGTCAGATGGCGCTCGTAGAGCATTGCGGGTGAGGTAGCAGTGCCAGTGGGGAGAGGAAAGATGTGTTGGCGAGGATGGTAGGAGAGAGCTGTCCGGCGCGATCTGCTGAGCTTGAGGGAATGATATCGATCCGTGGGGACGTAGATGCCCGCGGGACTATTGTTATCGCCTTCTTACTGCTCCTGACAGTACCTAGTGTCCCACCACCAAAAAAAAAACCTCCACCCTCGCCGCGCCTCTTCGTTCACGCTCTTCACGAATTGTGGTGATCGTCAAGGAGGTCCTATTCAACAGCAGAATCGACATTGGGTTTGAGGAGGGTGAGAAGTCAGATGTCTCATTTCCAACCGAAAGCCGTCCGAGTCCAAGGCTCGTCGATGTTCCAATCACATGAAAGGACGGCTAACGAAGGGACCTGGCCGTCTGTCACGCAGGCGGCGGAAATGCTAGAGCGCGGTGAGCGTCTGCGTGAGGATGCCGGGGTGTACGACACGCGAGATAGGGCTGGAATTGTTTTATAGAAGGTGGGGTTTTTGACCCATTGCTGGAGGTGGTGATGGAGGAAGAGGTGGAGGTTGAGATTTAAATGAGCGTGGGGATGGGGGTGGGTGGTAGTTCTGGACGGTAATTCGCATTCTGCTCGTGTTTCGCGTAAGCGAAATGCGTGAATTTGGAGAGTGGAGGAGGCAGGTGTGGGGCGGATGAGGTTGGACGGCGGCTAATAGGGTGACAGAGATTTTGCATGACTGTTCCGGTCAGGCTTATTTCGTTTCGTTTCAGAGTATACCTTCGGCAAGATTCGCTTTAGTCGCTGGAGGGTCGACATCAAGGATAGTTATTGTTTTCTGTCAGAGAAGTGGGCTGGTATTCAAAACTGCTAGATCCGAGTCAGAGAATTAGAGTGGTGAGGAAAGAGAAGGTCTTACAGCGAAAGTTTTTGGAGGAGATTTTGTTCTTGTTCAGACGAACTGGTCGTTCCCTCAAAATCGTGAACCCATACTCTAAACACTAAGGGGCCCTGCTAATGTTGGATTTTACACCAAAACGCTCACCGCAGCCAAGAGATGCAGATTCGAGAGCTGGCTATTTGAGTGGGCCGGCGGGAAGGTGCCATCTCGCGGGGGCTGGTCACAAGAGTTGGCTCAATAGTGCGAGTTGGTGTTGGTCTTCATCGGAGGCCGGCATAAAGTGTTGGAGCAGAACTCTGTCGGAGTCTGTGCGCCCGATTAGGCATTCGACATTGAATTTCTCACAACTGATCTCAGCTCCTTGTCATCGACCACAACGACCACCCGACCTATCGACGTCTTTAGCTCTTCAAACTCTCCTAGTCTTCATATTACAATACATCATTCCACCCATGGAATCTTCCTCATCCACCGCACTGCTGCAAAACGCCATCGGAACGACCATATCTGGAGGCGCACAGCTCATAAACGCTGGCCGTGACGTCGTTCTCCATGGCTCTCCGGCTGCTCCTCCCGCAGGTATGTCAGGTTTTATGCCAATTCGTCAACACTATCAAACATTTTTTGGCATCTACTAGGTCTTCCGGACTTGCTTAGGCCTGTTAGCAACGCTACGCACACTCGCGCGGGTCACGTTGCTCGATGTGATGCAGGAACTCGCCTGGAGGTCATCACTCAGATCAAGCAGTGGCTCGATTACTCTGACAAGCGAGCTGCCATCTGCTGGCTCAAAGGGCCAGCTGGCTATGGCAAGTCAGCATTAGCTCAAACCATTGCGGAGCACTATGCCACAGAGGGCCGCCTTTTAGGGAGCTTCTTCTTTCTTCGAGGTGCTGGCGAACGAAGCCGCATATCTCGCCTGATCCCTACCCTTGCCCATCAGATCTCCATTTCTGTTCCTGCTGCAAAGCCATCACTTGAGAGGGCTCTTCGCGATGAGCCAGCCTTGCTTGAACACTCTGTCTCTCTTGCTCATCAATTTCAGAAGTTAATTATAAATCCAACTCATTCCACCACTTTCAAAATCCTTTCTAGTATTGAGCCACTCTCTGGTTTCACAAAGCAAAAGATTCTTGTTATTGATGCACTTGATGAATGCGATGACAAGGCTGAGATGGCAGTCTTCATTGATGCTTTGATCAATGTGTCTATAGGGGGGAATTATCTTCCTTTCCGAATACTTCTTACCAGCAGGGTGGAGGAGCATATTCGAAAAAGATTTGATGGTTCTGGCACTCAGTCTGTTTTATACTGTCTGGACTTGGCAGATTATGATGCTTGTTTGGATATCCAAGTTTACTTCAAGAAACAGTTCAATTGCATCTGTGACCAGAATTTGCGCATGATGCAGAGGATATCAAAGCCCTGGCCGTCTACCAAAGATCTTGCTGTACTCTTGGATATGGCTGGCAGTTCATTTGCATTTGCTACTACATTGATCCAATTTGTTGGAGGAAATCCCATACCACACAAAGCCTTGCAAAAACTACTGGAAGCTGGAGTCACTGGTCTGGATCCACTCTATGAACAAGTTCTTTCCTCTGCATCTGGGACAGCAGACTTTTATAAAATTCTTGCAACAATTATCATTCTCAAGAACAACAAATCTATTACTTTCCTTGGCTCCCTCCTCCATCTTCAGAATGAAGATGTTGTTTGTGAGCTCTTGGGACTACAGTCCATTATCAACATTCCTGGAGAGGATGTTAAGCCCATTATGCTCTATCACACATCTCTCCGGGATTTTCTGATCACCAAATCACGATCAAAGCAGTATTTCATTGATCCTCCTCTGCAACACCTTCATCTGGCAATATGCTGTTTGAAGCATCTGGCAGAATACCCTTCAAAAGACTTTTTTGAGGGTGATGTGGTCCAGTATGCTTGCTTTAATTGGCCACACCATATTCTTTTAGGATTTCAGAAGCAGGAATTAAATATGGATGAAAAAATCACAACCTCTTTGGTAACTCTCATTGAAAATTTACTGACTTTTCAGGGTAAGATATGGTATAATACCATACTGAATGTTGGAGTTTCAATGAGGTCAATCAGTGTGATAGATGGAAGGGATTTGTTTCCAGTCAGTTATTGCAATTCTCAGATGGTTCTCACACTTTTAACATGTATAAGACATTGCAGGGGTCAAATGTTCTGAAGAGTTTGACCAAGCTATTTGAACAAGTTATTGATGTCTATGAAGTAAGAGTTTATAATTAAGAGATCTTCACTGATTTGTCAAGATCTTCCAACAGACAGTAAGTAACAGACAGATGATGCTGCTCAAAAGTTAATCTGTAAGATCAATAGGAGGTATGTGGTGATAAACAGTAACTAAAAGGTATCAAAATAAAATATTGATCCGTTTTACAGAATGTAAGCCAAGACATAATAAGATTCAATTGCTATTGATAAAGCACAGGAAGTAAGGACAAAACAATTACCAGTTTTTTTTTTTAATGTTGTTGTTTTTTTTTTTTTTGCAGAATGTATGTCTACAAATTGTTCAAGTTTTTACATATTCTAATTTTGGCCATTAGTTTGTGAGAAATTATTTTTCATAATATGTCACATCTCATCATTTTCTTTCAGATAGTAAGTAATAAATGTTGGTTCTGCTATTTATACAACTAATGTGCTTTCTTATAAACCAAGGAGGTAATATGTAGTCTATTTACCTTGTCTCTGTATGCCTATAACATAATTTTGTAGTGGGTAAGTGATTATAAAATTTCTGAAATAACATTGCTCTGACTCAATTCTCTGTGTAACCTACCATTTTTAGGTGGTAAGTTGTTCCCCTATTGATTATGATTTTTTCTGGTGACTTATTCTCTGGCCTTTCTTGTTTCAGTGGGTGAGTTGGCCTGGTTTTCAATGTGCACCCTTCTGGTAACACAGAGTATGGCCTGTCTTATTTCAGACAGTGAGCTGGCTTGGTTTTTAATATTAACTCTTCTGGTGACATAGACTGTGGCCCATCTTGTTTTTCAGAGGGTGAGTTTGCCTGGTTGTTAATGTACACTTTTCTGGTGACAGAGACTGTGGCCTGTCTTTTTTCAGTCAGTGAGTTGACCTGGTTTTTAATGTGCAATCTTCTGGTAACAGAGACTATGGCCTGCCTTGTTTCAGGAGGTAAGGTGGACTGGATTTCAATGTGTACTCTTCTGGTGACACAGACTGTGGCCTTGTTTCAGAGGGTGAGTTGGCCTGGCTCTTAATGTGCACTCTTCTGGTGACACAGTCTGTGTCTTGTTTTAGTGGGTGAGTTGGCCTGTTTTCTAAAGTGCACTCTTCTGGTGACACAGACTGTGGCCTGTCTTGTTCCAGAGGGTGAGTTGGCCTGGTTCTCAATGTGCACTGTTCTGGTGACACAGCCTGTGTCTTGTTTTAGTGGGTGAGTTGATCTGGTTTCTAATGTACACTCTTCTGGTGACACATTTTGGTGCTTCTTTCTTAGGGGGTGAGTTGGCCAAGTTTTTAATGTGCACTCTTCTGGTGACAGAGACTGTGGCCTGTCTTGTTTCAGGATGTGAGTTGGCCTAACTGTAATGTGCATTCTTTTGATGACACAGACTGTGGCCTGTCTTGTTTCAGGAGGTGAGTTGGCCTGGTTTTTTAGGTACACTCTTTTTGTGATGCAGTTGTTCTATTTCAGTGGGTGAGTTAGCCTGGTTTTCAATGTGCACCCTTCTGGTGACAAAGTGTGGCCTGTCTTGTTTCAGACAGTGAGTTGGCTTGGTTTTTAATATGTACTCTTCTGGTGACAGAGACTGTGGCCTGTCTTGTTTCAGAGGGTGAGTTGGCCTGGTTTTCAATATACACTCTTCTGGTGACACAGACTGTGGCCTGTCTTGTTTCAGATGGTGAGTTGGCCTGGTTTTTAATATGCTTTTGTCTGGTGACACAAACTGTGGCCTGTCTTGTTCTAGAGAGTGAGTTGGCCTGGTTTCAATTTGCACTCTTCTGGTAACACAGGCTGTGGCCTATCTTGTTTTAGAGGGTGAGTTGGCCTGGATTTTCAATTGCACTCTTCTGGTGATACAAACTGTGGCCTGTCTTGTTCCAGGAGGTGAGTTGGCCTTGTTTTTATTGTGCTTTATCCTGGTTTAACATCTTGGTGCTTCTCTCTTAGGGGGTGAGCTGCTTTGCTACTGGCCATGGATTAATTTTGTCACACTTTTACTTTTCTTAGGAAGTAAGTTGCTTCTTTTTCACTGTACATTTTTTCAGCAACCCACTCTTGACATTTCCTTTTTAGGATGTAAGTTGCTTATATTCCAATTCATTCTACTCACCTCTTTCTTGCACTTATTTCTTTATTTATAGAAAGTATGCAGTCTCTCCCACATGTCTTGTAAGTTTTACTTGATATTTTTCATTTTTTTTTTTTTCAATCTACATGTATTCAATCATGATTCTTTATCAGGTAATTGATCCCCAATCAATATTATTTCAGAGGGTTAGTCAAATTTCAGCACCCTATAGACCAATTTTATCACATCTCTGTGTTTCCTTTTTTTAGAATGTAGGTTATCCATTCATTCTAATTTCCATCACACTGATATATTTATATTTAATATCAGATTGTATGTTTATATCCTCTGATACACAAAAATGCTCATGTTTTGTAGCTTGTATGTCTGTTGTTTATTTCCAGATTCTAGCATTTCCCCCTCTCACCCATTCTTCCTGTTAGGAAGTATGTATTTCATTACATTATTTGACTAGGCTGCTTACCTCAGATATAAAGTGGGCAAGTCAACTCTATTTTCTATCATCTTAGAATCTTTGGTGTAATAAAATCTCCCATTTTTAGAGGGTATGCTTTCTTTCTTGCTGGCACTGCATACTCAATATTCATTGTCAAAATATATAGAAAGATACAGAGCCATCTAGATCCTAATGAGCCTATTTCTTTGCAAAATGTCAAGTTTTGTATGTGCATTTATTATCTACTTTATATTTTCTTATTCACCATCTCCATCCCCCTTAGTGGTTGATACACCCTCTATACCTATGATTCCTCTAACATCTCTATGATTGAGTCATGTATAAGCTGAGGAGAAACAAGTCTCTAGGTTCCCAGTTCAGTTTCTGCCTCTTGAGGTGTAGATGAGGTACTGATTGCTGAGAATATGACTCCACAGCATTGTGGACTTACTAATTTTTCATATATTTGAATTTCCCAACTGCTATAAAATCAAGGTTCTCCATGGATTTCATATCACTGTTCTTCCCAACAAAAAGACAGACCTCTTTTTAATGATAACCAACACATCACGCAGCCCTCAAAATCACTAAAATGTAGCACTAGTAACACAAATTTTTGTCAAGTGCCAAAACCATCTGAAATTCAAAAAAATGGATTGAAAATAGAAAAAAAAACCATGTTGCATTATATCAGTATATATATAATTTCCTTTACAGGGTACAATTTGCAAGCTTCTAGCATGAATTGACCCCTACCTGCCAAAAATATTTGGATGTCACAGTCAAATCTGGCGCCTGCTGAAGTCAAAATTTCAGCAAGCTGGTAACATATCACACTGGGTGCTGAATTGAATGAGATACAAGATATATCATGGACAAATGTTACCCACTGGTAATGTTACCAGTCTGAATACCTAAATCCTTGGCATATATTGCCATTGTCCCCCACATACTACCATTGTTTTATATTACCTTTCATGTATTTACATTGTCCCTTTAGCGAGTTTGGCCAAATACGGAACATGTGGCTCTCGGAGCCATTATCGATATTTTTGCAACAATGCACTGTCGAAGTGTTGTGTGAGCTACTCCTTTATTTGCTCAATCAAACTAGTTAGATTTAACTATATTAACCCTTTCAAAGTATGCTTTTGGAAGCTCAATAGCATTTGCAAAAAGCAGAAGCTTGAGAACTGCTTTTTCAATGAGCCCTCCTAGAAAAATGGTAACCATTATTTTTGCAGGCAATAGTTCAGACCAAATTTCAGCAAAGAACCTCATTAAAATGTTAACCATGCATTATCTGAATTTTGATGAGCCTCACTACAGATGTGGCTCTTAAAATTTTGTCTTTTATTCTTGAGATGTAGTCTATTTGGTACATCTAAAAAGGTTTCCTCAATCGCGGAAACACCTTTCAATGCTGCAATCAGGACCTCACTATCCGCTATCGTTGGGGTCGCATTTGAGGATTCTGTTCTCAAGTGAAAAGCAGGAGCCGCAATAGCAGTTTCCACCTTTGGGATGTGCAGTTTCCTTGATTCTCTTGAACAGATCAGGGGGTCACACAGGAGCTGCATGGAGGGGGGGACTGAGGTCCAAACAACCCAGGTGGGAGTTCAGAGATGCCTGAGGGTGAGAGCAGACTGTTGATCCCAAAGAGGAGGAGGGGGACAGGGACCAGAGGGGAACGGGGAGAGAGCAGAAAAAACAGATTCATTTGTGTGACACTATCTACACTATCAAGGACTCTGCAAACGCGGATCACTGGAGAGTGGTTACCAGCTGCATGATTTTGGTGACGGCGCGCGCCAAAAGGGAGGGTTGCCAGCGCTCACGTGACGTAACCCGGTCATGTAAGCAGGCGTGATACACAGGATATATCATAGACAAACGTTACCTGCTGGTAACCCACTGGTAACGTTACCTATGCCCCAGGTAACGTTACCAGTCTGAATACCTAAATCCTTGGCATATATCGCCATTGTCCCCCACATACTACATTGTTTTATAATAGCTCTCATGTATTTACATTATCCCGTTAGCCAGTTTAGCCAAATACGGAATGTGTGGCTCTCGGAGCCATTATAAGTAGATATTTTTGCGACGACGCGTCGAAGTGTCGCGTGAGCCTGCTCCTTCACTCCCTCACTCAAACTGCTTTAATTTAATTACATCACCCCTTCAAAGTATGTCTTGGAAGCACAGTAGCATATAAAAATTTAAAAGCAGAGGCTTGAGAACTGCAGTGTATTTCCCAATGAGCCCTCCCAGAAAAATGGCATTTTTTTGCAGCCAGTATGTACAAAGAACCTCATTTATATTTTAGCCGTGCATTATCTAAATCCCAACAGGTGTTGCAAAAATTGTGGCCTCTAAAACTTCGCCTTTTATCCTTAAAATGTAGTCTATTTGGTACAGGTTTCCTCAATCGCGGAAACACCTTTTGATGCACTTTAATTCCACGATTGGGGCCTCGCTATCCCCTATTGTTGAAGTCGCATTTGAGGATCCCGTTTTCGAGGGAAAAGCGGGACCCACAATGGCAGTTTCCACATTTGGGATGCGAGGTTTCCTTGATCGGGGTCACCTCAATTGAACAGATGAGGGGGTCACACAGGGAGTGAACGGAGAGGGGGGCTGAGGTGCAAACAACCCAGTTGGGAGTTCAGGGATGCCTGAGGGCGAGAGCAGACCATTGATTACAAAGAGGAGGAGGGGGGACAGGGATCAGAGGGGGGAACGGGGAGAGAGCAGAAAAAACGGATTCATTCGTGTGACACTATCTACGCTATCGAGGACTCCGCGAACGCGGACTGCTGGAGAGAGGTTACCAGCCGCGTGACGGAGGTGACGGCGCGCGCCAAAAGGGAGGGTTGCCAGAGGACACGTGACGTAACCCGGTCACGTAACCAGGCATGATACACTAGTAATATGAGTTGTCATCACCATAATCCCCGATGCTGAGACTGTACTCCACATCTAGGTTTAGTAGATGTTGACTTGATTCCTGTGGATTTATAAATGATAATTGTAAGATAGATGACAGGCAGGTGCCTCTGTACCTTCAACAAGCTGAGAAGCTTTCAGAAAACCTTGTTGGCACATATTTGGATTCCATTCCGATCGCGCGATCACCAAACAATAATTTCAAGTCGAGTCAACGATCATAATCTAATCTATTGTTTTCTTTCTCCCCCATTGTGCCAACCATGTCAACGCCCGAAGAGAAATACGAACTCATAACCCGCAGACTACAAGAAGTCCTCGGCGGCGACTCGATAAAAGCCATTCTGGCGGAAGGAAGGCATCCGAAATGTTACTGGGGTGCGTCGCTCGTTTGATCCCGAATTTCAGGCGTTTTAATTTGTGTGATTAATGTATAGGAACTGCACCGACTGGACGACGTTTGTGATCCATCTACACACCAACAATTCCCAGCAGATTCTGACAAAAGGATAAAGCGCATATAGGCTACTTTGTCCCCTTGACCAAGATCGCTGATTTTCTGAACGCGGGTGTTCATGTACGTATCGTTTTGGTTCTTCTCCTTCCTTTTGATCCCTACTAACCCTTCCATCGACCACATATCAGGTGACTATACTCCTCGCAGGTGAGTTGCGCTTTTACTTTATCGGCCCTTACCCTAACCCTCCTTCTAGACGTTCACGCGTTCCTCGACAACCTTAAAGCCCCACTCGAGCTTGTTGAACATCGAACGCAATACTACCAACGCTTACTAACGACTGTCTTCACATCCCTCGGCATCCCTACATCAAAGCTCAAGTTTGTTCAAGGGTCGTCCTACCAACTCACTAAAGAGTATAACCTCGACAACTACAAACTATGCGCCATCGTATCGGAACATGATGCGAAGAAGGCCGGGGCGGAGGTGGTCAAGCAGGTTGAGAGCCCGCTGTTGAGTGGGCTGCTCTATCCTGGCTTACAGGCATTGGACGAACAATACCTTGATGTTGACTTTCAATTCGGTGGTGTGGACCAGGTAAGTTTCCCTTCCTCAACCTCAACCTTATCCCTCCCTTTCCACCTTTCTCCTTCGCAAGCTAACAACCCTCCCACTAGCGCAAAATCTTCACATTCGCAGAACTCTACCTCCCCCGACTCGGCTACGCCAAACGCGCTCACTTAATGAACACCATGGTCCCCGGCCTCGCAGGCGGCAAAATGTCTGCGTCCGACCCCAACTCCAAAATCGACTTTTTGGATTCTCCCGAGGTTGTCAAGAAGAAACTGAAAGCCGCCTTTTGCGAGGAAGGAAACGTCGACGAGAACGGGGTGTTGGCGTTCGTTGGGGCGGTGTTGATCCCCATCTCCCAACTTCGTCTATCGCGCCAACAAAGTGAGGAGCTCGAAGCGGGCCTAGGCGACCAACGCCCATTCATCAGCAATGACGCGCCCCCTGGAACCGTGTTCACCATCGAACGTGACGCCAAGTTCGGAGGCCCATCGCATTATTCCTCCTTTGAGCATTTGAAGGAGGAGTTTAGGGAAAAGAAGGTCCATCCTGGGGATTTGAAAGCCAGCGTGACGAGTGGGATCAATCGGCTGCTTGAGCCGATTCGGAAGGCGTTTGAAGGGGATGAAGAGTGGAAGCGGATAGCGGGGTTGGCTTATCCTGAGGCTGGGAAGGTTGAGAAGAAGAAAAAGGTGAGCTGACCGTAAAATCCGAGAGAGTGGGGACCAGGAGCTTATTTTGCTGTGTGTGTGTAGGAAAAGGTGTACCATCCACCGCCGCCTGGGAAGGGGAAGAACGCGAAACGCGCGCAGGTCGACGGTGATGTTCCAGTGGAGCAGGGGACGGCTACGTCAGTTGTGGTGGATGGCCAGGGGGCCATCGCTGTTGTTGATGCCGCCAGCTCGGATGTTGTTTCGTCGAAAGAAGTCGTGACCGTTGTGGACGGGGCATCATAACAGAGTCAACGTCGATATACGTTCAATGTACAACATTAGATAAAATTTACGGATTTCAGTTCACGGAGTTTCTGCATCTACAATTATTGTCTCCGAACGAGGAGGTGAGGAGCGAAGCTCCGAGCTGACGAGCAAGGCGTTCTAGAGACTTTGGACGATTATGGCCGCGACGTAGACCAACGTTTCGTCTGTTAAAGAGACTCATCAGGCGGCGGGGTGGTCTTTTACCACCAAGAAGAACATTACGTAACTATCCCAGAATCACGGGATCACGTGTGTGCGCCCTCAGAGTTGCGGAATCCGCGATGGGACTCGACGCGTTTAGTTCACTCTCGAGGCCCTTTTGATTTCTAACCCCTCAATGGTAGAGTACTAGATTGTCTACCATTGCTTGTAGGTTGTTAGAGTGATAGGAAACTGAAATTTATCTTCATTCAATTTATTCTTTGGGTGACTCTGCTGCAGGCAGCTGAAAGGTGATTTAAAAATCACGTATCACCGGTATCAAATGCATAGAATGAAGTGGAATAAAATTTCTGTCTCTCAAAAGGGAATGACTGATGGTGAAACCGGATTTTTATTATCAAAAATCGAATTTTTTACATCTACTCGAAGGAGCAGCTGCCGGCGGTCCATGTCAGACTATCTTCTCAAGAAGAGGACTTCAAAAAGATAGTCAAGATGTTCTCATCTCGTTTACGAGCTCGAGGATACCCGGGGAGATGGCTTCGGTCAGTCTTTTCAGGTGTGTCATATGCCGACGAGCGCCCAAAAGCACTCACCCCTTACAGTGCTTTGCATTGCCGTTTGCACAATGAGTTTTGGAAATCGTGTTTGTGTGTGTTGTACCGTGACCCTCAAATCAGGAAGTAAGAGACCGCTTACGGACGCAACATCCAACAAGGCCTGCAATCTCCTGCGGTGGACGCTGTTGCTCATCATGGCAAACAATCCTTCGCGCGCGCATCTCATCCGATACCTGAGGCGCAACAAAAGTTGGGTTTGAGAAATTCAAAATTCTCAAAGTCGTCCTGATGTGTGACAATCTGTGACGAACATACAAAACCAAACACAATTTTCGCAAATTCGGTGTGCAGACGGCAATGCAAAGCACTGTAGTCCTGTTTTTACCGCGCCATCCGAACCGTGTCAGAAAATGCTTATGTAAAGTGCGGACTTTGAAACCGCGTCGCGTCAATAGTATTACCTCCTTGCCATTTTGCTCTCGACGCGATAGCCCAAGCAATTCTGCCCTAATACACGTCAAACTTCATATTCTACATCTTGACTGATTTAGAATCCGTCATGACGACTTAATGATGGCTCGACAACCCCGCTGGCAGGACCCTGAAGGACTTGACACGATCAATACAATTGTCAAGAAACTCATACCACATTGGACGAATGGACTGCATGCGGTCCAACTGGAGCTCGTTTCTGCCATTCTGGATGGAAAGAGCGCGCTATGCTGTACTGCTACTGGCGACGGAAAATCAGCAGCGTTCTCGGTCCCGACTCTGGTGCTTCTGGAGTATAACAAACACTCGGAGTCATATGTAGCTGGGCTTCCAACTCGGAAGCAGCCTATCGGGATAGTAATCACACCAACAAAGGGGCTGGCTGATAACATTGTACGTCTATCAGTGATTTCCTTGTTCTGCTAATGAGTTTCGGCCTAGGTTCATGAACTGTCAAGGCTGAACATCTCTGCATTCTCGTACTGCAAAGAGACTCTAAGCGCCGCGCGGATGGCTGGGATCCGTTTAGCAGGTGAAATCAAAAATTGCATTAAATGGCAGGTCATTTGCATGGATCCCGAGCACCTGCGCGACAAGGAGTGGAGAGAAATCACCGAGTACCCAACTTTTCGAGCAAACATCTTGTTCGCGTGCGTCGACGAGGTCCATCTGATCAACGAATGGGGTCTTTCTTTTCGTCTAGCCTTTGGGACCATCGGATCTTTTCTACGCGGTCGTTTTCCCTCTTTGATATCTATTGTCGGTCTGACTGCAACTCTCGAGCCTGGGATTCCGACGGTTGCCATCTGCAAAAGTCTTGGTTTCTTCGAAGGAAACTTTACGCTAATTCGCAGGTCAAACGAGCGTCCAAATACACAGTTCACTATACAATTTCTCACCCACGGGCTCAACGGCGACAAATTTCCCGATATTCTTCCGTACCTCGCCAGTGGGCGAAAGACTATTATTCATTGCCGATCTGTCAATCAAGTCTCGCAAGTTTTTGCTTATATCTGGCGCCTGCAACCCGACGGGAGTGACAAACTCATTCGAGCTCGAGTTTATCACAGCATATGTCCTGCTGAATACAACAAACAGACAATCGAACTTCTTGAGACCGAACCACGCTTACAGATCGTTGTTTCAACCGTCGCTTTTTCGAATGGGCTCAACGCAAAGTCTCTTCTGGATAGTCTTTCGCTTGGATTTGCTTCAACGTTTAACGAGTCGTGGCAGGAGAAAGGCCGTGTTGGAAGGGATCCGAAAACGATTGGACGTGGCATTATCTTTGCCCATCGGAGTGTAATAAAAGAAGCCGAAGCGTACCTCACATGTAAGTCCCATGGTTTGACCCTTTGTAACGATGCTGACTGTAACTAGCGCTTACCTCACCTGTTCAACCCAAGACCCGCTCAAAGAAAGTCAAGGCTCCTCGTGTTCTTGATAAATCCAAAGCTCTCGTTATCACCGAAAAACATTGCTATATTGCCTGCATTAACACTTGCTATGGGAATCCTTCTTTGGATCCCTCTCGTCCAGATTTATCTCGCCTGGATTGCCTCGCCGCCGCTCGTTCCTTACCTTGTTCACTCTGTCTAACACGACGAGGGCTCGACACTATTGTTTTCCCACCATCTCTATTGCCTGCAGGTTCAGCCCCGTTGCCTTTGTTGATGGTGCCTCGAGCTATCCCTAAATCGTCAACACCAAAAAAAGATAAGTTGAAGAAGAAGGAACGATTAGCCGCAGAGAAACACTTACTCAATTTCGGTGAATCCATCCATCAAATTGAACAACGCTCAGACAACCACGCCTTTCGACCACGCTCCTCGTACTTTCCGGCTCGCATCCTGTCTTTAATACTCAACACATTGCTTATCATTCATTTTCCATCAGATCTTGGCCGTATTCTTCATGACACATGGACCTACTACTCTATTCATGGATCAGCGCTCTTTGACTGCATCATTGAAATCCAAACATCAATCAACGTTCAACGAAATACTGCACAAGAACTTACTCTAGCTAAGCAACATGAAAAACGGCAGGCCGCAAGAGCTTTTAACGACGACAACACTCCTGATTCGGACCCTGAATGCCCTGAAGAAACAGTCAACGAACTTCCCACACAAAAACCGGATGATTTCCCAGCCCGCAAACGCCAAGCGCTTGAAGATACGACGAACACCACAAAGCGGCCACGGCGAGCTCCTAGAGCTGCTCAGCTCAGCGTTGCCCAAGTCCTTGAAGACTATGGTCCGCGGTACCGCACCCGCCGAAATGCGCTTGTAGAAGGATCATCTGGGGGTGATAATGGAAAAGAGAATGGAGGTCTGAGGAGATCGAAAAGAAAATAAAAATATTTGAACAGTGTTATTCTACTCTGAATTATACATATATATCTTCTTCGTCAACACTATTATTACCATCAGAAAGAGCTTCGCAGTCCTCAATGCCATCGTCATCGCCACTCGAGTTTTCTTCATCCTCTCCACATTCCTGATTGTGCCAAGTATCATGAGCCAACCGGTTGTCCAAGAGGTAAACATCATGGTCAGAACCGCTGACCAGATGGGCATTACTAGGGTCATCTTCATTTTCATCCTCGGATTGTGTACCTTGAGATGAGGATGAAGTCGAATGGGATTTGGAACCAGTGCACGACTCGGAGGAAGTTTCACATTCATTGGAAGGTGGGCTGAGGTCGATGTCATCAGATTTGTCGGTAGCTGGACTTTGCAGCTCATGGTTAGGGACATTGTCGTCTTGACAAACCTGAACGATCTCTGCAATAACGTCAGCAAAGGTCATCGACTTGCTGATAAAATCATTCAGTTTTCCAGAGTCGAGTCGTGAATACCCCTCATTAAATTGATTAGTTGCAGCATGGCCCAGTGTCCTTCCGGTGACGAAAAGGTGAATGTTTTCCTCCATGAACAAGGCAAGGAGAAGGCGGAGTTCATCACGAAGATGGGGAGAGGTATGTGATTTTCCACGGCTCTTCAAGGAAAATACATTTTCGATCTCTTCCTTGATTCGTAAGAAATGATCGACATTTGGAGAGAGAGTATGTCGATAAAAGTTGTCGTCAAAATCGCCGCCTCGTTTCTTGACCATATCCTCAAGCCAACGGTTATAATGCTCTTGAAGCAAGTTGGCTTCAATCCACTTTCCAAGCTCACCAGTTATATTAACCAGCCAGTTATTCAAAATTGCGTCACGAAGATCTTGAGAGGCCTCGTATCGCAGAAGACAGTACACTTCCAGAAGATAGTGCACGTAGTTTTGATGAGATGATCCAGCAAAGCTAAATATCCAGATCTATAGACAAAATGTCGACACAAAATCTGATAGAAAAAGTCGAAATTACTGCACCTTCAATATCTCAAATACACGTCCAATATCCCCCTCTGGAACAGCATAAGAAATCTCAGTCCACCAGCCGAAATCCTGGAGAAAGAGAATGCTGTTAGCAAGAACCCAATCGCCGTCAAATTTATCCGCCTCGTGGTGGACCTTTGGAACATCCTCAGTTGGAAGAGCTGGTGGAGCAGCCTGTGAAATATCCATCGCAATGTCCAACGACCTGATATTTGAGATGGGAGCATGGAAGGGAACTTTCATACGATCTGGTGCATCCTTCGATTCAAGAAGAGAGAGCGCCTGTTCATATGCATCTTGCGATGCATAACGCCTCACAAGAATATCTGCTTGGATTAATATGGTTTCAAGGGAAGGCAGTTCCTTTTTTTCTTCTAGGTTGGCAAAATGCGAAAGAAGATCTGATTTCGCCTCGAGAAATACTCTGCAGGCATCCGATGTCAGAAGTTTGTTAAAGCGAGGGTGGGATTGACGCACCTCCAACAATCGAGAACTTGTGCCTCCCAGATTAAAGTCATACTTCTCACAGTGGGGTAGTAGTCACAGCTATTAAGGTTGGTTGGTCGTTTGAAACCAGCGGCACCTGAGCATCGAGAAAGAGATGAAGGATCTTGCGAGGTTGCTGGCCCATAATGATTTGCGGCAATCGAGTTGACCATTGTGGCTTTTGAATGCCAAATTTCCGGCGTAGAGATGCGATTTCGGAATGACTTGTGATTATCTGGAATAGAACACAAATATTTTTGTAGGCAAAGGGCTGCCGCATACGAAGCACCGTCGCCACCATTCCAAGAGAGAAGTCGATCCGCCGCTCTTGAGTCAATACCCATCTGTTCATCAAAGTCCATGATTGCTCGCGCCATCCCTTGAGTCTCAGTCTCTCTTTCGGCATTGGTTCCTAACGGTTGTACAACAGTCTTTCGTCCTTCGCGCATGCGATGCTTTGCAATGGGCTCCGAGCGAAATCAAGTTGAAATTTCCTTCGACATAGGCTTGAGTTGTGGGATGTAGTCGACGAGAGCGCGAGCCCAGTGTAACGATTGAACGGCGTGAACATGAGTCCAATCAATGTCGTTCCTGAGAGTTTCAACGGTCATAGTCTTCCGTTTTTTCTGAGCGACGCATGCAAGATGACTCTGTAAGTCAAAAGAACCAGGTTTGCAATCATCGAGGCGTATTGCGGTTGCTGCAGTCCCAACTTTGAGTATACTTTGGCGAGCGATACCTCCTTCATATACCGGACAGTACTCTTGGACGTTATCCAAGACAACGCACCACTCCGTCTCTCCTCGTTCAGTTGCGGCCTTGACGGAAGCCTGTAGAATAGCAAGGCTTGAACCTGTCATAGAGTCGAGAGCCTTGCGTGCGGTTGTATCGCTAATGATCTTTCCAAATCGGCTGTAAACGCGCTTGACATCGACATGGGATTTGGCTGCAAAATGCCAAATACCCAAAACCATCGCGAGATCTCCATTTGCATAGTGGTTTCGTGTTAAAATGAACGAGCTGATAGCGCCGACTTGAACCTAAGAAAATAGATAAGTACTCGATGACGATTCAGATTAGCTGAATACTTACTATCGGATGTGGGCATCGCTTCTTTAAAATGACAATACCATTCTTGCGGGAGGCAGTCATTGACTCGGTGAGGTACCAAGAAACAGGTGCCCGAGCCTTGTATTTCTCGCAGAGAGCAGAAATACTAAATCTCCCGAGAGCCTCCCAGGTTACAACATTAACACGATCCATGCAACGGCCATTTGTCGAAGCTCGAAGCTGTGTGTTGTCGTCCTTGGCAGTAAGCGCATATATCTCATGGTGAACATGATCGGCAACAAGATTTGTTGCCCATGAGAACAAAGACAGACGAGCGTGGAAGATTTCCCCAGGAGAGACAGAAGGCGAGAACAACGCATGGCGCTCAGAATAAAGTGGTGAAGCCGGTGAAGGCGCGCTGTGTTTGTGCTTGTAGATGAGGGAAATGATGTCCGACATCTTGACCTTATTTCTTCCCTGGAGAAAACGAGAAACAGCCTTCACGTGACAAGTGCCTCGAGGGTCAGATTCCCCAGAGAGGTGGCTGGGATTGTAGAACAATATCTTCAAAAACTTGCCAACAGAATCAAATCCAGAGTCCTTCAGAAACGTTTCCATTCGCTCAAACTTCGATGACAGCTTCTGTGCGTTGCTTTCGGGAGGTTTGATCAGTTGAGGTTGGCTCAAAGATCCGCCAAGGGAGCCAGGATTGTGAAATGGGGAGCCAGGAATTAGAGATGTAGTATGCGAAGACCCGTGTTGGTCGTTTTGAGATGTTGGAAGAAGAGAATTCGACGGAGATGGCAGGAAGGGTGTGATAAACGCTGGAGCTTCGGGTATTTCAGGGATTGGCTTCAACTTCTTGAAGGATCTGACAGTTCGGACGTTGCTATCCATTAAGATCGAGGTTGTAATGAAATACGAATGGAATTTGTGGTGATAGACGGTGTCACCAAGGTTTAAACGCGTCGAGAGTTCTAAGGGCGTTCCTCAATATTGACGCGACGCAGTTTTAAAGTCCGCACTTTACATAAGCAATTTCTGACACGGTTCGGAGGGTGTGGTAAATAACAGACTTCATATTATCGTGAACAAAGGTACGACTTCACATAATATCGAAGTCTGTCTATGAGAGACTACTCACCCCTCGTACTCCTATACCTGAATGGGAGAACAAGGGCCGGCTATATGTCCTGAAACTCATTCACAATCCACTGTGGGACTCTGTAGAATTCGGTCCCATATGGAAAACTCTGCATGATGCTTGGGAGGAAACTGGGCTTGGAAAACCCGATGACCGCTTCCTTGCATCCTTTAAAAAACCAGAGGCTTTGAATGACCGATTGAATAAAATCAACCGTGAGATGATCGAGGCTTACCAAGCTGAACAAGCAATGACCGTTTGAACCCGTTTTTTTACACCTACTCTCGAACCACCTGCCGGCGGTCCCTGCGGGACCACCGTATGCAGCTGCTCCTTCGAGTAGATGTAAAAAATTCGATTTTTGATAATAAAAATCCGGTTTCACCATCAGTCATTCCCTTTTGAGAGACGGAAATTTTATTCCACTTCATTCTATGCATTTGATACCGGTGATACGTGATTTTTAAATCACCTTTCAGCTGCCTGCAGCAGAGTCACCCAAAGAATAAATTGAATGAAGATAAATTTCAGTTTCCTATCACTCTAACAACCTACAAGCAATGGTAGACAATCTAGTACTCTACCATTGAGGGGTTAGAAATCAAAAGGGCCTCGAGAGTGAACTAAACGCGTCGAGTCCCATCGCGGATTCCGCAACTCTGAGGGCGCACACACGTGATCCCGTGATTCTGGGATAGTTACGTAATGTTCTTCTTGGTGGTAAAAGACCACCCCGCCGCCTGATGAGTCTCTTTAACAGACGAAACGTTGGTCTACGTCGCGGCCATAATCGTCCAAAGTCTCTAGAACGCCTTGCTCGTCAGCTCGGAGCTTTGCTCCTCACCTCCTCGCTCGTGTGTCAATTGACACTTGCACTGCCCTTGCGAGGTTCATTGGTCATTTATGGAGGTGTACCCTCCCGCAGGTTGGGGTACCCCTGGGATTTTATAAATCCGCTACCCGTACCCGCAAAAACCCACACCCGTGGACGCGGGTACAAGTTCTGACAGGTATGGGTACAATCCTGGGAATACCCCGGGGTTAGCCATGACAATCCCTACGAAAATGTCATAAGAACGCTAAGGGAGATCTCTTGAAGCACGGCATGACCTCTGAGCTGCTCAACTAGGTCAATAAGGAGCATGGTGAAGCGTGCAATGCGACGCGACACGATGCAGAACTAATATTTGAACATCACGTGTCGAATGTCACGTTTCCGGCCATACAGATCGCCACACAGATCGCCACACATGATCGCCATACTTTCCAATGCTGACATGCCCTCCTCCGAACGGGACGTACAAGAAAATATCGGGATAATATCGTAATACTACGGTCTGCGCAAGAGACCATTAGCATCCCATGCAGTCACGTCATGGTCGTTATACTACCAGTCTCTTTGAGTAATCATATATATCGTACATCAGTCCACATTCTCGTGCTGAAGGGATGAGAGCAGCCACATGTTGCGTCTGGTGTTAGCCTCCACATAATCCTCAAGCCCAACACTCTCACAATATCCAACGCCTTCCATCGTGACCTCTTTCCCATCAACGTGTCCTGTCGCTACCACGGTGGACGCTGCTTCTGCATACTCAGTCAACCCACCCTGCCACAACGACTGCTGATCACAGACAGTAGTCACGACGACATCAAGATTGACCGTTGCTGACTGCACAACAAGGTGCCATGCTGAGGGATAATTCGCGTCTGTTTCTGGGCTCTTTGCGAATTGGCCGACGTCCAACTTCGCTTCGACAAGACTCGATGATTTCCCTTCGACGTAGACTCCAAAACCCCATAAAGAAGGTACGATTTTACCGCTGTGTGGGCAAGCCAGCGTGAGGGCGCGGTTACCATCAAACTGGAACTCGAACCAGCACCATCCGCCGCCCCCCGGCTTTGTTGGACTGGTTGGCACATCCCAACCACCCCACTGATGGTCCATCCAGGTGACACCTGAGGTAACAACATGGTGATGCCCGTCAATTTTCACAGATCCGGTTGTGGACTGGTTAGCCCAGCTATAGTAGTACCATGTTGGCCCACCAGGCGCACCAACAAACCCGTTGACGCCCTGCAAGAAAAGTGGGTTCGTGGCGGAACAATCTAGATCGATCTCTATCGTTGGGCAACCAACAAGAGAGTCGCCTGGACCGTCTATGTGCACGCGTAGGGGGAAGACATCAACACTGCCGTTGAACGAGTTCTTCCCGACAGTCAGATGGAACGGGTTGTTGCCATACTTGACACCACCCTCGATTGGAGCGCGTGCGATGACTGGAAAGGCATGATGAACAGCCGGGGCACCAGGCATCTCGATTGTGATACCCAAAGATGTGCTGAAGATCTGCCGGTCTAGATCTGTGGTATGCTTTGGCGAGGACGCATGTGTACCAATGGCCTTGCGGAAAATGATGAAGACCGCGCTGACACGGCCACCACATTCGAGGTTGAGGCTGAGCGTAACGAAGTACCATTCAAACGGCACATCGAAATGCAAGCGGTGCTCGGCAGGGAAGTGCAGTGCAGGTGCAGGCGGAATCGATTTGGGAAGGGTGAGGCCCGTGCTGGTCCATCCGCCAAGAAGCTCCCAGGCTGCTTCTATGTCGGTTGGTGACGGGGATGATGAGGCCACTTGCTTGACAAGTGCCAGGATCGAGGGATCGTGAAAGCCTTCGATTGTATCGACGAACGACAAGAAGATCTTTCCCAACTTGGAGTTCTTCTTCGCGGTGATATGACTGTCTTCGGCCATTCTGTGAAGTACGCTTTGCCAGACTTCCCCCCCCATCCCCTCGCACTTTTAAGCGTTTCGAAAACCTCTTCCCACAATCTGTCGCTGTCACCGCCCAACCGGTAGTGATCGAACGCCGAGAACAAACCGGCGCCCGCTCTAAACTGTTCGGAACCCGCCAAAAGGATTCCGCTATCCATCGCATCGAGTCTACACTGAACATTGGTCTCTGCACCATATCCCGCATAGAAAATAAGAATTGGGTCTCCACGTTTAATCCGCTCATCACCCCGGAGGTCCATGAATCCCTGGATTATGGCGGCTCTTGTGGCGGCTTCATCTGAGGGAGGCACGGATAGGTCCTCTTTTAGGTATTCTTCGACTGAGTCAGCGTCGTTCACTGCTCTGAGAACAGTGAATTCAGGGCAGTTGATGCCAATGGTTGAGGAGCGGTGGGGTTTCTGTGGATTTAACTCCCCAGTTAGTGGATGTACATAATTCTGCGAGCAAAGATGAACGCACGGCTTGACTGGCGTGGGGGATGACGGCTTCACGGCGCTTTTAAATAAAGTTTCTTCAGACTAAAATTGGCGTGAAATACCAAGGAGAATCCTGACCTGAATATGTAGAGACGCCTGGGGTGATTTCCATCAGCTAGATCATGAAATGCCTGGGATCTTTAACGAGCTGGAATTCGAAAGGACCTTAACATTGGACGCGGAGTCAACGCGTGGAAGAATTCTAGAACCAAGTTGTATTCAGCATGCGTCACAAGATGACTACCTCAAAAAATACACGACTTACTTTACCTCTTCCTATTGGTCTCTATCGATAATCAGATAATTGAATGAACTCGTTATAGGCGAAGGGAGGAAAATCTCAACTGTAAGCGTTTCCAGAACAATTCAACGTAATTCTCAACGAGGACATCGGCGGTTTCGAAGAACCGGTTGGCAGGCACTAGTGATTGTAGGAACAGAGTCAAAGCAGCGTTCTAAAGCCGAGTCATGGGGGCTACTTACTTGACTGAGTCAGCCCCAATGGGTAGGCTATCCTGCACGGGTTTACCAAAGAGGCCTTGGCGGATGTCTGACAGCAATTTCAATTGTCTACTTCCTCGAAACCGGGCGAGCAACGTGCAAGATAAGAATGAGACGTGGAGCACCTTGTTCCTGACATGCAGGTGCGGTAAGGTCATGTGCGAATTCTGTTTGTTCTCGAAAAACGACTGGGATCTGTTTCCAATCCAACTGTCCCATCAGAGATCGACCCCCACCCCGTCAAAGTCATTGAACGCAATTCACACTCTCTCTCACGCCAATGCGCCACATAGAGTGAATTCTATGCCGCCGATAAAGTTCCTGACGTGCGACGAGAAAACAAGTAGTATGGGGGGGAAGAGAATCCATGAGTTGGTGACGGGTTGAGGTAGGATTTTTCCAACGTTCCAGCCTAAGGAGCGAGATTCTGGTTTGTACCATTTGTGTTGAGATTCGAGCATGATAAACGTCCTGGCGAGATGAGGGTCGGTGGGGTAGACTTGAAAGGAACGGTATAACTCATGCCCGAGCCTCCGACGACTTGTGGTGTCCAGAACACGCCGCCTCTTACGCCATTCCTGGATTAGAAATGGAGGGCAGGGCGGTAAAGCTAGAAGTGTTGGTGTTACTGTCCGAGCCGACGTATATGATATAATACACAACGTACCCGCTAATCCAAAAGATAGTTGCACCACAAAGCTGGAAAAATGCCGCACAAACTTGCGCCGATACTTCCTACCGAACGTGAACCGTATCCAACGCTTCTCCTCCCCCACATCCTCTCTCTTGACCTCCATGACTATGGTGAACGTCCCGATCAAAGGAGGCATGTCGTCGCTGTTCCACACCTCGATCCCAAATTCAATAGTCGCGCCGATGAAGGCAGTGACGCCTGTGCTTGATGGGTCACGCCAAAGTGGGAATTGATGAGCGGGAGGAAGGAGGCGACACCGTTGACAATCCAGATGATGGTTTCTGGTGTGACGCTCTACGATTTGGGAGACAATTAGCTATTGGATGTGTATTTTTGCAGGGAGAATATAAGACGTACCGTAGCCACCCAAGTAGACGCGCTATTTTTCCTCAACGAAGTTGTTTCATGGCATTCTTTCGTTGGTACGCAGTGACACATGGGCGTGTCTGTGTTTCCTATCATGTCTGGAAGTCCATTTCGGCATTCGTACTTCACCTCCATGGGTGTGGGTCAGATCTGCATGGGTGCAATGGAAAGCGGGAGCTCCCCAACCTCAACCTCCCGGATGCATCACGTGACTTGTTTGATATGTATAGGCCCTCTAAGCGCTAAGCGGACACTCAAATCTTTGTTATATCTAGTAGTGCGAGCTACGCCCACCTTGGTGCGTCCATCGACAATCGTTAATCCTTGATCGCAGTCAACATGGCGAATTCAGTGGAAATCCCACAAGATATTATCGACAGTGTTGTTGCGGCACTTGGCAATGACAAGTGTTCACTCAAGCAATGTGCCCTGGTTTCTTCCTCCTTCCTTCTCCCAAGTCGCAAGCAGCTCTTCTACAGCATTACTTTTGGATCCATCAATGAAGATTGCCAGAGGCGTCATCAATTCCTCGTCCAAAATCCAGTCATTCGATCATTTGTCAGAAGGATGAATGTCCATCTTTGCAGGTACTGTTGGGGTTCCAAACCTGCTTCTGGCAAGGTGGTACTTGCCATTCTCCAACTCCCGTTCTGTCACTTGGAGGAATTCTTCCTCTCTTACAATTCGTACGTTCAGGATTGGGGTGGCTTTAGCGGTGAAATGAAGGATGCACTCTCGACTCTCATCCATTCACCCACCCTCAAAATCCTCTCCCTCTATATGATCGACAATGTACCAATTACCCTCTTCCTTGGCATTGTCCACTTCACGCAATTGCATCTAAATCATGTCTCCCTCAACTACTCTGATGGCGAGCACCCAAGCTCTCTGACACCGAAGGGAGTGGCGACAACGGCTTCTCATACAGTGATTGACTGATGTGTGTGGTCTTTCAGCCTGAGGAAGACAGAGCATGGTAGGAGATTTCCTAAATATGCTTATTTCTCACTGATTCGGGTCCTCTGGACATAGATTATCTGACTGAGACGACATTCTTACCATTCATGTCCCATCTGCGCGTTCTCGAAATAGACATTAACCCGTCCGATTCCACAAGGATGTCTAACTTCGCCATCTTGTCCTTTTTGATGCGTTGTCTTTTTGCCAGTCTCTCATCCCCTGCCACACTTGAACATCTCAAGCTCGTCATTACGTTTGAAGGCAATTACTTCGATCACCGTAAATCTCCTGGGGATCTAGGCCGCGATGATGTGTGGCACCATTTAGACTCCATTGTAACTCATCCGGCTGGTTCACGGTTACAAAGAGTCGACATCAACATCAGGTATTCCCCGCGTTCTGACGATGATGTGGTAGAACCCGAGAACGATGAAATCTTGGCAGCTGTCCTTGATGGTTTACCGCTACTTCAAGACAAAGGGATTTTGTTTGTCGAAGCTGAGATGTGGAGATGACATGATTTTCATACCCGAATACCTATCGGTGGTGACTGGCCAATGACAAAGAGGTAAAACAACGAAAAGTAGATGAGGAGGCCCACCCTTGCGAAGTTTCGAAATCAGGATATTTGATTGCATGGAGTGGCGATATACTAATGAGGGGTCAAACACCTCCCGTTCGTTGTATAAATACAAGTCTCGATGTGACTACGTCCAAGTTTCATTCGGTATAGATATTTACAGATTAATTCAGTCAAATCTTTCATCTACTTTGTATTCACCCCCAGCGACAAATGCTCGTGCACAGACTCCGTATATAATATCCTTTCACTCCGTTGATGTAGCATACTCCGAGTGCCAAGGTTCTTCACTCTGTGGTCCAGAACGTACCCCGCTGTGGATCGCCTTAACCATGTTCGCATCAGGTGCAACACCTCAGGCTGACTGGGGTCCTTAGCGAGCTGGAATTCGAAAGGACATTAACATTGGAGGCGGAGTCAACGCGTGGAAGAATTCTGGAAATAAGTTGTATTCAGCATCCATCACAAGATGGGTACCTCAAAAAATCAACGATTTACCTTGCCTCTCTCTGTTGGTCTCTATCGATAATCAGATAGTTCAATGAACTCTTTACAGGTGAAGAGAGGAAAACCTCAACTGTGAGAGGTACCAGAACAATTCAACGTAATTCTCAATGAGGACATCGAGGAACCCTTATCGGTCTGCAGGTGCTAGTGAGTGTAGGAACAGAGTTGACGCGGCGTTTCAAAGTCGAGTAATGGGGGCTGATTACTTGACACAGTCAGCATTAATTGGCAGGCTATCCTGCACGAGTTTGCCAAAGAGGGCTTGGTTGATGTCCGACGGCGATTTCGCGAGCAGCGTGCAAGATAAGAATAGGAAGTAGAGCGCCTTGTTCCTGACATGCAGGTGCAGTAAGGTCATGTGCGATTTCTGTTTGTTCTTGAAAAACGACTGGGGTTTTTTTTTTTTTCAATCCGATTGTCCCATCTTTCAGAGTCAGAGTAACAAAAATTCAAGAAATCGACCCTGCTCGTCGAATTCATTGAACGCCATTCACACTCTCGCGCCATTGAAGAACGGATCAAGAATGCCCAGGTGCCCCAGAAGGTATACAGCGAGCTCTGATATAACACGCCGCTCTTGGGCACAAACCCGTACCCCAGTGCGTGAGCCCTATGTCGCCGATGAAGTTCCTGACGTGGGACGAGCAAATAAGGAGGATGGGGGGAGGAGAATCCATGAGTTAGTGACGGGTTGACGTAGGATTTTTACAATGTTCCAGCCTAAGGAGCGAGGTTCCTATTTGTACCATTCGTGTTGGGATTCGAGCATGATGAACGTGCTGGCGAGATGAGGGTCGGCGGGGTAGACTTAAAAGAAAGGGTATAACTTACTGTAGACCCGAGCCTTCGACGACTTGTGGTGTCAAGAACACGCCGCCTCTTACGCTATTCCTGGATAAGAAATGGAGGGCAGGGCGGTAAAGCTAGAAGTGTTGATGTTACTATCCGAGCCCACATATATGATATAATCCATAACGTACCCTCTGATCCAAAGGATAGTCGCACCACAAAGCTGGAAGAATGCCGCCAAAGTACCCAAACTCGTGCCAAGACTTCCTATCAAGCGTAAACCGATATCCAATGCTTCTCCCCTCCCCGATCCTCTCTCTTGGCCTCTCTGACTATGGTGAACGGCCCAACCAAAGGAGGCGTGGTCGTCGCTGTTCCAGGCCTCCCACATACCGCAAATGGATCTAAATTCGATGGTCGGGCCGATTAAGGCAGTGAGCCCGTGCTTACTAGGAACACGCCAAAGTGGTAATTGATGAGTGGGAGGAAGGAGGCGACGCCATTAACGACCCAGATGATGTTTCCTGCTGTGAAGCTCTGAGCCAATTAGCTATTGAATCTGTACTTTTGCAGAGTAATTGTAAGACGTACTGTAGCCACCCAAGTAGACGCGCTATCTTCCTCAACAAGGTTGTTTCATGGCGTTTTTTCGTTGGTACTATGATGTGTGGAAGTCCGTTTCGGCATTCATGTGGAGATATGCCTGTAGGCCCTACATAAGCGGACACTGAAATCTGTATACAACTTGACGCCCACGGCGGCCCACCTTTGTGCGTCCATCGACAATCAATAATCGATAATCCCCGATCCCAGTCAACATGGCGAATTCAGTGGAAATCCCACAAGATATTATCGACAATGTTATTGCGGCACTTGGCAATGACAAGCACTGGCATGCACTCAAGCAATGTGCCCTGGTTTCTTCCTCCTTCCTTCTCCCAAGTCGCAAGCAGCTATTCTCCAGCATTAGTTTCGGATCCAGTAATGAAGGTTGCCAGAAGCTTCATCAAATCCTCGTCCAAAATCCAGTCATTCGATCCTTTGTCAGAAGGATAAATGTCGACGTCCATCGCCAGTGGCGTTGGGGCGGTTCCGGACGGACTGAACCTGCTTCTGACAAGGTCTTACTTGCCATTCTCCAACTCCCGTTCTGTCACCTGGAGGATTTCCTTCTCTCTTATTTCGACGCTGCGAAAAGTTGGAGCGGCGAACTGAAGGATGCGCTCTCCACTCTCATACATTCACCTACCCTCAGATTCCTCTCCCTCTATGAGATCGACAACGTACCAATTACCCTCTTTTTTGACATTGCCCACTTCACCGAATTACGTCTAAGTCATTTCTCGCTCAACTATTCTGATGGCGAGCAATCAAGCTCTCTGACACCGAAGGGAGTGGCGACAACGAGTTCTTGGCATAACGTCAACAATCCACCAATTACCCTCTTCCATAGCATGGTCCACCTTACGAAATTACATCTAATGTCAGTCTCACTGAAGGACGCACTCTTGATCCTCAAACATTCACCTACCCTCAAAATCCTCTACCTCTATGACATCGACAATGTACCAATTACCATCTTCCTTGGCATTGTCCACCTTACGGAATTACATCTAAGTTATGTCTCGCTCAACTATTCTGATGGCGAGCAGCCAAGCTCTCTGACATCGAAGGGAGTGGCGACAACGGCTTCTCATCCGGTGATTGACCGATGCGTGTGGTCTTTCGGGAAGCCAAAGCGAGGTAGGAGATTTCCTAAATATGCTTACTCCTCACTGATTCGGATCCTCGCGACATAGATTATCCGACTGAGGCGAGATTCTTACCATTCATGTCCCATCTGCGTGTTCTCGAAATTAACATCAACCCGTCTTCCGCAAGGATGTCTAACTTCACCATCTTGTCCTTTTTGATGCGTTGTCTTTGTGCCAGTCTCTCACCCCCTGCCACACTTGAACATCTCGAGCTCAACATTACGTTTAAAGGCAATGATAACCGCTTCAATCACGATGCATTTTACAAGGATTTAGGCCGTGATGCTGTTTGGCGCCATCTAGACTCCCTTGTAACTCATCCGGCTGGTTCACAGTTACAAAGAGTCGACATCGACATCAGATATTCCTTTCGTTATGACGACAATGTGGTAGAACCCGAGAACGATGAAATCTTGGCAGCTGTCCTTGATGGTTTACCGCTACTTCGAGACAAAGGGATTTTGTTCGTTGAAGCTAAGGTGGGGAGTTGACATGGTTTTCATAGCTGCCGAATACCTATGGGGTGGTGACGTAGTCACATCAAGACTAGCCTGTATTTGTACATTGTGATTCTGCAAACCTGGTCCATACAACGAACAGGAGGTGTTTGACCCCTCGTATATCGCCACTCCATGCAATCATGACATATCAAGACCAACGGTTAGATATTCTTATTTCCAAAATTCACGAGCGAGTGGGCCTCCTCGTCTGCTTCGTTGCTTTCCCTCTTTGCCACTGGCCAGTCCAAGTTTCATTCGGTATACATACAGATACATACACTGTCGCGACAGCTACAGCTGTTCCTGAAGCAAGCACGGGGCACTACCTATGCTCTCCAACTTGAAGCTTTGCTCGGCCGCGGCGCAGCAATGACACTGTAAAATCTCTTTTGTATGGAATTTGGAAATTTTGATACCCAGACGATATTTGCAGATTCTCGTGCACAGACTCCGTACATAATATCCTTTCACTCCTTTAATGTAGCCTACTCCGAGTCACGTTCTCCACTCTGTGGTCCAGGACGTACCCCGCTGTGCATCGCCTTAACCATGTTCGCCATAGCCTCGCTGCCCCCGCGGCTAAAGCTCTGTTGCATCCTATTCCACGTATGCTGTGTGTTGCGTTTAGCTCGCTTGAACATGGAAGATTGGTAAGTTTGGATCGCTGCAGCAAAGTCAAAGGTTCCCTCTCGCTCGTCTTTATGAGCGATAATCGCACGTGTAAGCTCGAGGGCGTCGAGCATGGCAACGTTTACCCCAACGCCCGCGAATGGTGTCATCAAATGAGCAGCATCGCCCAGGAGGGTCACGCCAGGATGGGCATTCCACTGAGTGCCGATGGGTAACATGTATAGCGTGCGAGGAATGAGTTCGTCTTTGCTTTCCAAGATGATCTTCTTCAAATCATCGGGAAAGCCGTTGTAATACCTATCAACGAGTTCCTTTCGAGCGATTTCCGGCTTGGTCCAATCAATCCCGCAGTCCTTCGTCCACGTCTCGTCTTGGCGCAAGCCGGCGTACACTCGGATACTGCCATTGCCGTTCCGCTGCGAAAGCAAAACTCTCCCCTCATCAAATGTGAAGCAGCTACCTGCACCTATGAAGGCCGATAACCAAGGGTAACGTTCCTCCACATCGAGCGCCCACAACTCGATGACGGATACGCCCGAGTAGAACGGCTTGACGTCTGTAAGAAATGGTCGCACCTTCGACCACGCGCCATCTGCACCGACGACGAGGTCGAACCCTTTCTCTATGCCATCGGCAAAGTGTAGGTCGTATTTGTTATCACTTTGCCCTTGCTCAACGTGGAGCAGCTTCCTTCCCCAATGCACAACGTCTGGTTTGAGTGAATTCAAGAGAAGGTTCCGTAGATCAATCCGGTCAATTTCGGGACGACCAGCGGTCTCGAAAGTGAGTGGGGCGTCGCCTCCATTGTCATCCCATAAGACGGTACCTGCTGGGTTGACGACTTTGAGTGCATCACCCTCAGGACGAGCGTACTTCTTGAACTCGTCGTAGAGACCGGCTTCGCGGAGGGCGAGCTGGCCGGATTCGGCGTGAAGATCGAGGGTACCGCCTTGGTTGCGCTCATTTGCGACGGTTTCGAACTCGTAAACGGTGAATAAGATGTTATGTTGCTGGAGGAGGTTGGCGAGCGTTAAACCGCTGGGTCCAGCGCCTATGATGGCAATTTTAGGACTGGTGGACATCTAGTGGATGGTAGTGCGTGGTTTGTGAGGCTGACCTTTGGTTGTAGACCAGCAGAGACGGCCTGGGTTTTATATAGCTGTGGTATACGATTCCGTAGACGCGTTCACTCGGCAACAACTGCGGGATAGCCATCATGTATCATGGAAGATGATCAGGTCTGCCCAACTGACCGTTATTACAGACGAGATCCTCTCTCATCGCATTTCGGCTCTTTTGACCTCACCCTCACGCTTGCGCGCCCAGAGACGGCCTGGGTTTTATATAGCTGTGGTATACGATTCTGTAGACGCGTTCACTCGGCAACGACGGATAACCATCATGGAAGATGATCAAGTTTGAAAATGATCAACTTTAGTACAACCTTGGTACAACCTGTGTAATTAATTATAACAGGCGTGTCTCTCATCACATCTCGGCTCTTTTCACCTCACCTTCACGCTTACGCGCCCTGCCCCTCCTCAAAGCTTACGCGTCGCATACCCATATAGACACTTCTCGCCTCTCACTTAATTTACATTTCACATCTCTTATTTCCCCTGTATCATTATGAACTCGAGTTTGCCACCAACCATAGAACCAAACAAGACTTATCGAGGCTGGTCCATCTCATCCAACTTTCAATCTACATCAGGCTACATCCAAGTCCTTCTCACTCGAAAGCCTGTGGTGCTTCATTCTGGATTCTACACAATACACACGGTTCTTCCCCAAAAATGGACCTCACTCCAGATGGTCAAGAAATCGCCAGTCTGCGAGATCGTTGGCGGTCGTGAACAATTCAAAATCAACTCGGAAGCGGTCATGGATAATGGAATAGTCAACAAAAGACCATAGCCTAAGCCAAGGCGTCATTGCCACGTGTCATCTGGCGGTCCGCTGCGGTGGCCAGGTCGTATCGACCGAGAAACGCAGCCCCCCTGAGGCGTATCAAGACTCCGAATTTCAGGCGTGTTCGATTTGTCGACATGAACCCAAGTCTGGGACAAACTCACCTTCACCAATGACAGATGTCACTGCTACTTGGCGTCGGTTTGCGCCTTGTGGTAGGGACGGTGGGGCTGCGTCAAAACATTCATGGTCCGTCGTCCGAGCTGGTACGCTCTCTTTTTCCTTGTCTTTCCATGTCCCACGAGCTGATAGTCGAGTGATAGTCGTCTGCGGGTGTATAAGTACACCTTCCCGTGGACGAGGAGAACGTATCATGTTTTCACCTGCAAAGGTTGGTCCTCAGGCGACCTCCCTCGATCGCTTTTTGAATTTGTGTTGCTTATTTACTATTTAGAGGGGATACCTTGGAAATTTCAGTTCACGAGCGCTGTTCAGCATAGACCTCCCCTTTTATCCTCTCGTATCTTTTCTAATCAGTATTCTCCATCTCTTTCTACGCTAGTACTACCCTCGGTGACAGGCGCGATGTTAGATTTAGTTCTATCTTGTTTGTCAAGAACTGGCGGTCAGTGGCGGGTTTATTAGATAAGCTTCGTTCCTGACCCTTTGTTTTCAGGGTCCCATTACATACTTTTCACCCAATATAAACGACGCGTTGTCAGGTCTTTTGCACAAAGACTGCCCTGCACAACTCAGACTCTCATCCCTACCTCCCACCTTCCGACACTCCACCTCAAGCAACAGCAGAAATGGCGAAGAATTGCAAAAATGTTCTCATGTATGGTCAATGCAACAACAGAACATGCCCTTTCGAACACAAGATTCTCATTTGTGACTTATGCGACTACATCGCCCCCCACAAAGATGCGTGGAAAACTCACCTCGAAAGCAAGAAACATTGCAGCATCGTTTCTGGAAAAACCAAGACCTCGCACTGTAATATCTGCCAAAGGAACATTGCTGGGGGGCCTCAACAGTGGTCCGCCCATGTAGGAAGCCAGAAGCACCGCACGCTCGCTGCCACTCAACAGGTTGACGCAGATGTTGAACCTCGAGATGAAGCTTCGACAGAGGAACAAGAATTTTGTGGCCTTTGTCAAGTCAGTGTATGGAAATCGGCTTGGAGTCGCCACCTGGAGCGGCCTGGACATGTCGAGCGGGAGAAACACAAAGCGGTGTTGGATGAGGCGGAGAAAGATAAGAACGGTATCTCCGTTGAAGGTGGATTGAACTTTGGTATCGTCGATCCAACGACGGCAGGAAATGGTACTCAGTCCACCGTGACTGTTACGACGTCTTTGCCATTTTCAAAGACGATCTTGGCGGAGGTGAACATGGCTTCAAACCATAATCGACGTGATGCATTCTCTAGGTCTGCTTGTTTGTCATCTTGTCTTGTGCATATCACTCTGATGCTTTGTTTTCTCTTTCTACAGGTTCTATGGGTTCTATGTGTCCGTTGATGGGATTAGGATTCCGCGTAATGTTGTCTCTGGCCGCCCGATCACTGTGAGGGTCACATTTAGGCAAAACCACATTGGCCGATACGAAGACCGCTTAGAGCTAGTCTTTGAGGACGTACAGCTGAAGAAACGTTTTGCGATCTCCAGGACGGTCAGTGCTATCGTAGGCAACAAGGTTGATCATGAAGCGTTGAAACCCAGGGAGCCCTACATTCCCAACATCCGTGCCGATCGCTCACCAGTAACCAACGTCATCGAGGGCGTTGCCCCGCCAGCCATGACAGCTATCATGTACATTGGCAGGCTTCCGGATGCTAGGATTCCCAGAGGCCTTCTATCAGTCCTGCTGGGACCAGAGGGTGTTCGGCGACAGATCCTCCATATCGAAAGGGCGTTCCTACCTAGCAATGTAAACGGGGACACTTACGGTCGTTTTTTCAAGCACCTTCTATGGATTGAGGAGTTCAAAATGGAGTACGTCTTCTTTTTACCATGTCGTTCCATTCACCTAAGAAGTCTCATAGATATGACTTGTCCCGCTATGATATCTTCAACTCCACACTTTCGAGGCATAATATGTATTACTAGTACGTGATACCCATCTCTCACTTTCAACACATTAATTGTCGGACATCCACTAGTCTCCCTGTACCCGGACTAGCTGAAAAGCGGCCAAGTGTGCTGGTTGGTTCGTCTCATAACTCTGTGTTCCGCGGACAGAGACTAAATTCGTGCAATAGGTGATCGAATGCTGGTCCAGGAGGTCGGCGCACCTCAAGGACGTTGGTATGAGGGCCATGTTCATGTTGTGCGACAGGCCGAGGTTGGACTTCGTTTTAATACCTCTTTTGGCTGGAGCCCCACCCAGCGATACCATATTAGGTTCAAGTTGAACCGCATCCCCGCCAAACGCCAGCATCAAGCTATGGATACCGTTTTCACTGAAGACCGCGTCCTGTTTCCGGTTTCGAAACACATCTTGAACCCTAGGGCCAAAGAGATGCGGATCAACTTGTTCAATCTACTCGTCAAAGACAACCCAGCGCAGCTCCGAGCAGTCAACTGTATCGTCAATCAACGTGCTGGATCACCTCCCTTTGTAGTTTTTGGACCGTATGTTTTGCTTTTCTTTTGGCACTAGACTTCGCGGCTGAAGCGATCTTGCTACGTAGACCTGGTACGGGAAAGACGATTACTATCGTTGAGAGTATCCTACAACTCGTGCACAATCTTCCCAAAGCTAGGATTCTTGCATGTGCTCCCAGCAACTCAGCTGCCGATCTTATCACAGAAAGACTAGCCGCGGATTTGAACTCAGACGAGCTGTTCCGTGTCGTTGCTCCCTCTCGGGTTAAAGACCAGATACCCGATGCTGTCAAACCATTCACGTGCGCGTTACCGAACGGCCACTTTTCCGTGCCTGCTATGGTAAAGCTGAAGAGCTATAAAGTGATTGTAACGACTTGTGTTTCAGCTGCGATCCTTACAGGGATTGGCATGCCGAGAGGCCACTTCTGTCGCATCTTCATTGATGAGGCTGGACAAGCAACGGAGCCTGAGGCGTTCGTTTCCATCAAGATGTTGGCGGACAGTGCTACTAACGTCATCTTGTCTGGAGATCCAAAACAGCTTGGACCCGTCATTCGCTCAGGCATAGCTCGAGCATTGGGACTAGAGACCAGCTACTTGGAGCGCCTTATGAGGCGTGAAGCGTATAAAGAAGCCAATGGAGTCACGTAAGCATTCATGTCAGTTTCGTGCTACCCGTAGTTGACACTCCTTATGAAGTGGTGTGAAACTTGTGAAGAATTTCAGATCCCATGGCGCGATCTTAAAGTTCCCCAATGATCGGTTCTACGATGGAGACCTTCAACCATGTGCGAAGCCCATCACTACCGATGTTTACCTCGCCTCATCGATCCTGCCAAACCCGAAGTTTCCTGTCGTTTTTCATTCCGTGTCCGGGAAGGATGACCGGGAGGCATCCTCCCCGTCTTTCTTCAACATTGAAGAAGTACTCCAGGTCAAAGATTATGTTCAGAGACTGCGCTTCGACCGTCGCTTCCGTACCAGTACGTCCTCAGATCTGTTATCCAGACCGGCAACTAAGCCGACTTACTCTCACAGCGGACAAAGATATTGGCATTATAACCCCTTATCACGCACAATGTCTTAAGCTTAGGTCTTCTCTTCGTAGTGTTGCCGATGGTGTGAAAATTGGGTCAGTGGAGGAGTTCCAGGGGCAGGTAGGATCACGTTGCTCACGTCACCGACTGTAGTTAACTCTCAACAGGAAAAACGCGTTATCATCATCTCGACTGTTCGCAGTAGTCGGGAGTTTGTTGAATATGATCTCCGACACACACTCGGCTTCGTAGCGAGCCCTCGTCGGTTCAATGGTATGTAATCAGTCTCGTATCCCTCCCTGCCATGAAAACTGACTCCACCACCTGTAGTTGCAGTTACGCGTGCTCAAGCCCTTCTTATCGTCGTTGGCGATCCCCATGTATTATCACTGGACCCACTTTGGCGTTCCTTCCTCAACTACGTCTACCTCAATGACGGATGGACTGGCCCAGATATCGCATGGGACCCGACCATCCCTGTCAACGAGGCTGGAGGATACGATCGTGCAATTCGTGCAGCTGCACAGTTGGACATGAACGACTTGACACGTCGTATGGAAGAAGCCACACTGGACACACTGGACGAAGTAGAGGAAGACCCAGACGCCAATGTCGACCGCCCTTGGAGGGATGTTGAATAAACACCTCAAATTGCCCTTCTCGATACATATATACTCATTTCTCAACTCACACATTACATTACACCTCAAACTATATGTGTCTGCACATTTCAGATATTAAGAATCCTTCAGACACTTATGGTAGTTTCTTGCCAATTGACAAAACCAGAGATCCTCGTAATTTTACTTGCAAGAACTTCGTAGTGGCCTCTTCAAGTCGAACATTCTGATCACGATCTTTTGCATGGTTTCACGTGACATGTCATATCGATTGCACCCGTACTAGTAGACCCCATCGTGAAGCTTCTCGTTGCGCACACTGACTCGAGAGTGTTATGTCTGCCCTCTCAAACCCAGTGGAATCACACATTTTACTGGAATAAGCAAGCTCAAAGCCTGTTTGCATAGGCACCGACATAAACAAAGTGGCTGAACGCTTAGCGCTATATTCGCGAAGACTGCCATGAAGTGGTTTATCGATGTGAGTTTACCTGACATACTTACTTATACTTCGCTCTCTCACTTCTTTCCTCAGTTGTCATTTCCCACGTTCCCTATATACTCACATTTATTTAGCCGCTCTGCCTCTAGGCAATACGATCAGATGTCATTTCCCTCGTTTCCCAACGCTGAGGATCGCTCTGAGTCTAGGTCCGACACCTACCCCCCACCTTCCGCCACCACCTTAAGCATCAGAAGAAATGGTGAAGAGCTGCACAAATGTTCTCAAGTATGGTCAATGCAATGACAGAACATGTCCTTTCGAACACAAGATCCTCATCTGTGACTTATGCGAGTACATCGCCCCTCATAAAACTGCGTGGAAAAGCACCTCAAAAGCAAACAGCATCGCGACATCATTCCTAGGAAATCTAAGACTTCACACTGTAACATCTGCCGAAGGAACATTGTTGGGGGGCTTCAACAGTGGTCCGACCACGTAGCAAGTCCGATGCACCGCGATCTCGCTGCCGCACAACGGGTTGACGCGGAAGTTGAACCTCGAGATAGAGCTTCGACAGAGGAACAAGAATTCTGTGGCCTTTGTCAAGTCAGTGTAAGGAAATCGGCTTGGAGTCGCCACCTGGAGCGGCCTGGTCATGTCGAAAGGCAGGTAGCGTTGGATGAGGCGGAGAAGGATAAGAACGGTATCTCCGTTGAAAGTGGATTGAACTTTGGTATCGTCGATCCAACGACGGCAGGAAATGGTATTCAGTCCACCATGACTGTGACGACCTCTTTGCCATTTTTAAGGACTATCTTGGCGGAGGTCAACCTGGTTTCAAGCTATAACCGACGTGACGTGCTCTCTAGGTCTGCTCGTCTATGATTTTGTCTCGTGTACTTTTATCACTCTGATGCTTTGTTTTTTCCTCTCTTTGCAGATTCTGTGGGTTCTCTGTATCTGTTGATGGGATTAGGATTCCGTGTGACGTTGTCTCTGGCCGCCCCATCACTGTGGGGGTCACATTTAAGCAAAAACACATTGGTCGATATGAAGACCGCTTAGAGCTGATCTTCGAGGACGTGCAGCTGAAGAAACATTTCACGATCTCTAGGGCGGTCAGTGCTATCGTGGGCAACGAGGTTGATCATGAAGCGTTGAAACCCAAGGAGCCTTACATTCCCAACATCCGTGCCGATCGCTCACCAGTAACCAACGTCGTCGAGGGCGTTGCCCCGGCGGCTACGACAGCTATCAGGTACATTGGCCGGCTTCCCGATGCTAAGATTCCCAGTGGCCTTCTATTAGTTTTGCTGGGACCAGAGGGAGTTCAACAACGGATCCTTCATATCCAGAGGGTGTTCCTGCCTGACAAAGTAAATGGGGACAATTACAGTCATCTTTTCAAGCAACTTTTATGGATCGAGGAGTTCCAAATGGAGTGCGTTTTTTTAATCATGTCGTTTCATTCAACTAAGAAGTCTCGTAGATATGACTTAGCCCGCTATGATATCTTCAACTCCACACTTTCGAGGCATAACTCATATTACTAGTATGTGATACCCATCTCTTAATTTGGACGCATTAATTCTCGGACATTCACTAGTTTCCCCGCACCCGGACTGGCTGAAAAGCGGCCAAATGTGCTGGTTGGTACGTCCTTCAATTTTGTGTTCCGTGGATATAGATTAACCTGTGCATTAGGTGATCGAATCCTGGTCCAGGAGGTCGACGCACCTGAGGGACGTTGGTACGAGGGCTATGTTCATGTTGTGCGACAAGCCGAGGTTGGACTTCGTTTCCACACCTCTTTTAGCTGGAGCCCCACCCTGCGATACCATATCAAGTTCAAGTTGAACCGCATTCCCATCCAACGCCAGCATCAAGCTATGGATACCTTTTTTACTGAAGATCGCATCCTGTTCCCGGCCTCGAAACATATCCTGAAGCCTAGGTCCAAAGAGATGCGGATCAACTTGTTCAATGTAATCATCAATGACAATCCAGCACAGCTCCGAGCCGTTAACCGTATCGTCAATCAACGTGCTGGATCACCCCCCTTTGTAGTTTTTGGGCCGTACGTCGCTTTTCCTTTAGTACTAGACTTAACGCTAAAGCGATCTTGCTACCCAGACCCGGCACGGGAAAGACGATCACTATCGTCTAGAGTATTCTACAGCTCGTACACAATCTTCCCAAAGCTAGGATTCTTGCCTGTGCTCCCAGCAACTCAGCTGCCGATCTTATCACCGAAAGACTAGCCGCCCGTATGAACCCAAACGAGCTGTTCCGTGTTGTTGCTCCGTGTCGGTTCAAACACCAGGTTCCCGATGTCGTCAAACCATTCACGTTCGCGTTACCGAATGGCTACTTTTCCGTGGCTCCTATGGCACAGATGAAGAGCTTTAAAGTGATTGTCACGACTTGTGTTTCAGCTGCGATTCTTTCTGGGATTGGGATCCCGAGAGGCCATTTCTGTCGCATCTTCATTGACGAAGCTGGACAAGCAACGGAGCCTGAGGCGTTCGTTTCCATCAAAGTGTTGGCGGACAGCGCTACCAACGTCATTTTGTCTGGAGATCCAAAACAGCTTGGACCCGTCATTCGCTCAGGCATAGCACGAGCATTGGGACTAGAGACCAGCTACCTGGAGCGCCTTATGAGGCGTAAAGCATATGGAGCTCAAGAAGTCAATGAAGTAACGTAAGCATTCATGTCAGTTTCGTGCTACTTGTAGTTGACACTCCTTATGAAGTGGGGTGAAACTTGTGAAGAATTATAGATCCCATGACGCGATCTTAAAGTTCCCCAATGATCAGTTCTATGGTGGAGACCTTCAACCATGTGCGGAGCCCCTCACTACCGATGTTTGCCTCACCTCGTCGATCCTGCCAAACCCGAAGTTTCCTGTCGTTTTTCATTCCGTGTCTGGAAAGGATGACCGGGAGGCATCCTCCCCGTCTTTCTTCAACATTGAAGAAGTACTCCAGGTCAAAGATTATGTTCAGAGACTGCGCTTCGACCGTCACTTCCGTACCAGTACGTCCTCAGATCTGTTATTCAGACCAGCAACTAAGCCAACTTGCTCTGACAGCGGACAAAGATATTGGCATTATAACCCCTTATCACGCACAATGCCTCAAGCTCAGGTCTTCTCTTCGTGGTGTTGCTGATGGGGTGAAAATTGGATCAGTGGAGGAGTTTCAAGGACAGGTAAGAACACGTTGCTCACGTCACCGACTATAGTTAAATCTAAACAGGAAAGACGCGTCATCATCATCTCAACTGTACGCAGTAGTCGGGAGTTTGTTGAATACGATCTCCGACACACCCTTGGCTTCGTAGCCAACCCACGTCGGTTCAATGGTATGTACCAGTCTCGTATCCCGCGTTGCCGTGAAGACCGACTCCACCACCTGTAGTTGCAGTTACACGTGCGCAGGCGCTTCTTATCGTCGTTGGCGATCCGCATGTATTATCACTGGACCCACTTTGGCGTTCCTTCCTCAACTACGTCTACCTCAATGGTGGATGGACCGGCCCAAATATTACATGGGACCCGACCGACGAGGCTGGAGGGCACGATCGTGCGATTCGTGCAGCTGCACAGTTGGACATGAACGACTTGACACGTCGTATTGCAGAAGCCATACCGGACACACTGGATGGAGTAGGGGATGAAGACCCAGACGCCAATGTTGATCGCCCTTGGAGGGATGTTGAATAAACACCTCAAACTGCCCCTCTCGATACCATCTCTCCGCCCACACATTACATTACGCTTCAAACCATATGTCTCCTCACTTTTTAAATTGTAAGAACGCTTCATAAGAACTTCATTACGATATACATAATCACATGATCAGTCCTACTAGAATCATACCACATTGTCGCCCTTCTCTTGAGTACCACCATCATGGATTGAACAGCGACGTGACCGGCCTTGTTTCCCAGCAATATCGGTGGCAGCGATATCGGTGAGGCTACTATTCGTACCGCAGTAGTCATATCAACGATACTTATCACCTTACAGCCTCATGGCACATAGCCTTCAGATCTCCCAGTGAAAACCAGTGATGCTCGTCCCGGGTTTGGTTAGTCGGGCGCTTGATAAGGTATCTGCTGTGAGCAAGCACGGGCAATTTCCAGATCGGTGGGAATTTCTTTCCTTGAGTGCCAAGGCATATAAGCAGACTGGTGCTTGGCATGGTTAAATCCGCCATCTGAACTACTGTCATGCTTGAGGGCTACGATGACCTACAGTATTTGGGGAGTGGCTCCTTTGGAGTGGTAAACAAGGTGCGGCGTTGGCGCGATGGAAAGGTATGGTGTTGCATCTTTTATGGGAATCTCCCTGATCCGTCGGGCATTTCCAGGTCTTTGCATGTAAGACTATCGATCTCCACAACCAAGACCCCGATTACGCGCGGAGCGAAATCCAGGTGCTCGAGAACTTGAACCACCAGAATATCGTGAGGATCGAGGACTGGATTCTAGGCATGCCGTCCGGGAACCTGTATATCTTTATGGAGTTCTGCGATGGTGGGGATCTGCAGAATATGATAGACTCACGGTTGGCTGGTTTCTTCTGTTATGGGCCAGAGCTGATTTGGGTTTTGCAGACAGCGGATCACGAACCATCGGATCCTGTCATTCGCACACCAGATCGCGCTCGCCCTTGCGTACCTGCACAATCCCGGCAGCGGGATGGGGGCCACGCTGCATCGCGACCTCAAGCCTGCGAATGGTGAGTGCAAGGCCTGTTTTGCGTTCATATGCTCATTGGATGCTAGTGCTCTTGAAGAGGGGACCGCCGGGGTACATGCCCACGATCAAGCTTGCGGACTTTGGGGTGGCGCGCACGTTGTACAGTATAGGCGGGACGTATTGCGGGACCCCGGGATACATGGCGCCTGTGCGTATGAGGACCTGTTTCTGTGGAGGTATTAATGTGCTTTGATGCAGGAACTGCGCGCTGCGGCGACGCGTGGGCAGCCTTTGCCGTTCACTACAAAGTCGGATATATATGCGTTCGGGAAGATTGTTGAGGTGCTGTATATGGCTAGCAACCACAGTGCGCGCTCGCTTGACATTGAGAATTTGTTTGACGCGTGCTTGAACCCGAAGGCAGCGGAAAGGCCTACTGCGCAGGGTATTGTGAATTGGTGTCAAGCTCGGCAGTAGGTGCTAGAAAAAGTGTCCAGAATTTAGTGTACGTTTATGTGTTGTATAGCATGTTTAAAATCATGAAGTTCACTGTAAGAAGTGGTCAATGTTTTGGTGAGTGTCGTGTATGAATTCAGTATACATACTTCTTTGTGATCACGTCGCGGCCAGGAAGAGACGCGTTAGGGCAACACTCCACGATGATCAAGTTTGCATGTACATGCCAGGGAGCTCGAGCGGAGGTCGAAATCTGGATTGAGGTTCCACTAAAAAAAAAAAGTTCGAAAGAGAAAATGGAAAACAATTCTCGACTCGTACACAAGATCTGATTCTGTCGAGGTGGAGGGTAAGGTGGAGGAGCAAGATTAGGGACATTCAGAGTCCTCGCTTTCGACGTGCTTTCGACTTGATTTCAGTTTGCTTTCAAAGTTGATTTCGGAGCGGTAACCCCCGAAGGGCGCCGTCCATACCGAGCCGTACCGTCGCAAGCGACCCAAATTGGAAATGCCAAGCATGTCTGAGTTCGAAATCAGCTTGACACGTATGTTGTTGACGTTGCTGCACATTGCACCATCGCAATGCCGTCTGAATGAGATATTCTCATGGCTCACCTTTCTTCATCCAGCACATAGTATAGCCATTTATTTTATGTTTTCTGCTTGTTGTCTCTCTGTACACGTAGGCATATCGGAATGGATGTTGTGGTACACCTCTGTACACGTCATAATTAAATTCAGACTCCGACGAGCTTGGCATTTCACTTTGGCTTGCTTTCGCCTGCTTTCGCCTTGCTTTCGAGTTCACGATCAGAGTTGAATGGCGCTTTCGGGAGTTGCCGTGTCCGAAATCAAGTTTGAAAGCAAATCGAAATCAAGTCGAAGGATTAAACTATCCAGAAACCCTGGTTTCCCCTGAACAACCCAGGGTTTCCAAAGTGCTTGCGTAGAAACCTTGTTTCCACAAGAAGCGGAGCTCAGAATATTTGAAGTCCACCACATGCACATGCATAAGTTCAAGTTGGCGGCGGGGGTCATCAACCTTTCAAGTAGCAAGGGACTATGGAAGGGAGCAGTGGCATCCCTAAACCACTCCCGCTCTCCTACATCTATGTAAGTATAGCTACCCGTCCAAACCCTCATCTTGTTTGCATCTTGTAGCATCGTGTAGACCATGAACCAATATTATTTACCGTGGTAACCACTTGTCGAGTGGGCGCGTCGCATTGCGTGACGATACGTGTGCGACAAGGGATGTGCATGATGGAGTTCAACTCGTCGCGCTCTCTTCTCATCATGACCCGGGGAGCCAAGATCAATTTAAATTTGAGCGCGACACGCGTCGGCATCTAGGAATTTAACTCCGACATGGGGTTCCTCAAAATAACCCATCGACTGATGGAAGGGGGATTTCTACCAAATGCAGAAGAAACCCAGGGTTCCACGCGAAAAGGGGGTTTCTGGTTAGATTGATCCCAAGTCGAAAGCACGTCGAAAGCAAGGACTCTGAACGTCCCTATTATGTAAACACGTCATTCTCGTTAACATTTGGTTAACATAGCCAAAAAAACATCAGACAGAAACTTTCGTGCGAGATTTTGGTCAAGATTCCACACCTGTATCACAGCGTTGAAAGATCTGCACTTTTGTTTCACCCCGGAAGGCGTCCTTCCTTCACAGAAACCGCGTACAAGTTTCCAGCCAATGATGAATGCCGCCAACATCAATCTGACTGCGCGAGGCTGGCGCAAGCCACTTTCAGAATTACCTTTCGCTCCTTACAGCGCTTTCAGAGTAGGATGGGAAAGTGTGATTTTTCGTAAGCATGTGTGACGTATGTAGTTTCCCTTTGAGGAATTGTCTGCCTTGCACTGCCTACGCGTCGCGTCGTCCTTCTGCTCAATCCCTCATCCCCCAACGCTATGGGGTTTCAAAATTTAACCTCTAATATGAAGGAGTGGGCTAGGGAAGGCTGAGGAAGGCGAAAAACATGGTTCGCCCCTAATTCCTAAAAGGGAAACTACGTACGTCACACATGCTTACAAAATATCACACTTTCCCATTGTAGCAAAAGCGTGACCGCTGTGACTGGAGAGTAACAGAGGAGGGTTTTGATACACTGAGGGTAGCGAAGATAGACCGTTTTAGCGACTAAATTCACTGAGAGTCTAGCTAGATACATTGGGTCTTTTTATACTAAGGGTTACGTAAAAAGGGTCGCAAAGGAATGGGGATGGCCAAGGCCATGTTAAGGGAATAGAGAGACTCTGATTGGCTAAGGAGCGTGGAATAGGTGAACTAAGGAATATGTACGCGTCACCGAGGGGGACGCGTAAGCGAGAGAGTACGCGTCAGCGTTTGAAGGACGCGTAATCGTCTTGAAAGAAAACAAGGGGGAATGGTAAAGAGTCCGACTAATTAGATTAGATAAGGAGAAAGAGTAACAGATGCGTCACATCCGTTACATACGCCCTCCAGGGATCCTACAGGGATTCCTTCAAACGGCGATGGCGCTCGCGCCAGAGGAAGAATCACCGTCGCGCTTCTTGGAGTTAGAGGATGAAGAAGGGTGATGGGGGGTACTGGTATATTTCTTGTACTTCTTGAACTTTAACTTGATAGCTTTTTCTTCTTCTTCAGCCGCACTCTCAGCAACCTTCCACAATAAACCATCAACAATTTTCATGCGTTTCGGAGTCAACGCGGCGCCTTTGGAGGGCTCGGGAGCCGGCGCATCTTTGCGCTTCAAGGGCGCAGTTTTGGATGCCCACCCAATGATCTCGGGGGCAATATTGAAGTCGGAGAGGTCGATGGGTTCGCCGGCGAGATCGTACGTGCCTAGTGCGTCATCGTAGCCCGCAAACCGCTTTTTCTGATCCTCTTCTGCCCAGATGTTGAAGTTGGTAGCGAAATGCTCATAGCCAGCTGGAAGGCCATGGCGAGGAGGCTTTTGTTTACGCAAGCGCGCGTCGGTGAGGCAGTACAGCGCAATCTGGCCAACGTGATAAGAGGTGGACGTCTTTTGGACGGGATCGGTGACGGTGATGATGGTGAGGCAGGGTCGATCCAGGCAACGATGAGTGATGGTGGAGTATTTGGACTCCTTGGTGCTTTTGGGGGCTGCCATGGCCGCGGCGGGGGCAATGGGTGCATCAGGAGTGATGTCATCAGTCACGATGGGTGCAGGAGTAGGGATGTCGGTCATGATGGCTGGTTGGGTCAACTGTCGGCGAGGAGGAGAGGCTTTTAGTAACGCGCGGGAGGTCGTAGATGGAAAGGGACGAGTGGTGAATGAGTTTGAAGGTCGTTCAAGGTGAGGTTTAAAAGCTTCTTGCAATGCGATAAAGCCGACGAAAATTTGTGGATCGTCAACAGGCGGCGTGCCTTGTCCCTTTGGCAATTTTGAAATATCCTCAACCCCAAGGAGGTCGAGGTAAACGGGGAGCGCGTTTAGGTGCGTGATCTGATAATATGGGAGCCAAGTGACATCACCTGCTTTCCACTGTACCTGGAACACCGCATTTTCCATAGATCCCGAGTGCGCCAAAATTTTCTCGACGGCCCACTCACCTTCCGATTCCTCTTCGCTAAGCGCGAGTTGAGTGTCCATCCGTCCTGGAAACAGACGATCGTCGTTTGGGACATGGATCCGGAGCAGGGCAGCGTGAAAGACATTGTGCACACCTCGCTGCTTCAGATGTGAAGGCAAGTCGATAAGGAACGACTGATTATTAAAATCTTTTAGGATCTTGTACGGTCCGATAAATTTCGGAATAAGTTTCCGCGCCAGTCCCTTGGGAAAGGTGATGTTTTTCGTGGACAAGTACACCAAGTTGTTCTCTTTAAAAGGTGCGAGCTGGCGTTTTCGGTTAGCGTTGCGGGTTTGCTTAACGCGTGCTGCTAGGATGCTATCATGGGCTGATATCAATGCCAGCTTCCTTTGAAGGGCAAACGTGCGGACGGAGGGGTACTCGTCTGTGCGCGCCGTGTCCCAAATCATGGATTTAGGCATTCGTCCTGTGTTCAGGAAAAATGGTGCGTAGCCCGTACTTTCTGAGCGCGCAGAGTTAATAGCGAACTCGATAGCAGGAAGTTTCGCCACCCAATCAGTTTGCTTCTCGCCGATACACTGGCGCAGCATCTGAGTGACGGTTCGGTTTGCGCGTTCCGTTGAACCGTCCGTCTCGGGGTGGTAGGCACTGGACAGTTTTAATTTTGTCCCCATTAGCTTATGAAGGTGTCCCCAGAAAATGCTAGTGAATAGGACATCCCGATCACTTATGATATGTTTGGGGAGGCCGTGTAATTTGTAGACCTCTTCAAACATTAATTCCGCGATCTGTCGGGCGTTGTAGGTAGTCCGACTAGGAACTAAATGTACCATGGCCGTCAATAGACATATTATGACCGTTATGGAGTCAAAGACTCCGTCGCGATTTTTTGATTCGGGTAGGGGACCCACAAAATCGATTCCAATTGCTTCCCAAGGATGACTTGGCACTGGCAAGGGGTTTAATAACCCATAAGGCTTTTGATTGCTGGGCTTGCTTCGTCTGCACGTCATGCAGCTTTCACAAAATGCCTTGGTGTCAGAAACCATAGTTTTCCACCACAAAGAATCTCTTAGATAATTAAGAGTTTTACTTGCTCCTAAGTGGGCAAGCAAGGAGTGAGCCTCAGATAGTACAATTTCGCGGGCGTTCCTGCCTCGAATTGAGATGTTAGGTACACAGAGAAGCTTCCGCTCCCGTTCTTTGAGGTACACCAGCTCATTTTCAATGAGAAAATTTCGATGTTC